CGCCATTTACTTCCTGAAAAGTTACCGTGTTGTCACCCATGCAAGGGAAACTGCCTGACGGCCACAAGCATAGCCGGATATAGCCGGCTCTGATCGCCAGCCCTGTGATTGTAGTAACACTTGGACTTGGCTCCGTTGAAAGCACCTTTGTTCCTGTTGGCGGAAGCAGCCAGGCTCTTGTGGAAGGCCCATTGCGCCGTGACAGCGTCGTACCATTCCGTTTTACTTCGAAAGGGAGCCCTCCGAGTGGGAAACGAAACAAAGTTCCCCCAATGCGCACCGGCAGGAAAAAGAAGCGTGGACAAAAAATAGAGGATTGCCTGGGATCAGCGGAGGGTTTCGGATCGAGTGGGGACAGTGTTGCGCCCCTGAATTGCCGAAGCCCCAGTGCTTCATGACATCGCCCATGTTGAATGGGAACCAGAAGCACGTCTGCCAAACATGCGGTTGCACATCGTGGCCTAGCTACGAGGATGTCGCAATGGGGACGGCTGCCATTCCTGGATACACCAACTTCTGTAGTTGTTCTTATAGCCTGGTTGTCTCCCGAGCCTTGCCGACAAAGCAACGTATGATGCAAGGTATGCAGCGCGATAGCCCAGATGGGAATACGCCCTGTAGTTTGTGGTCTAGTTCGAATGATGCCGAGACTTCATGTGTGGCGAGCCCTCACTTTGACCCCACATTTGCTTCAGATCGAGGAGTGGATGCCGTCACTGAGAAGCTTTGCGATTACTTTGACAAGCAGCAAGGTTACGGACGAGGCTTGTTGCTGTTTACGCAGTTGCACGATGAAGTGGGGTGCACGGCGATTTGGCGTGGGGTTTGGGAAGCAATTCAGCCCCGTCTTATTGGCTGTGCAAACCTCACGACAGTGATGCGGTTCGGTCGTGTGAAGCTTTGGCGGGCTGCGATGCCACGACGAACGAGCCTTCGCTGCTGTTCTCTGGCAACTCGCTGGTGATGCAGGAGAGCTATGGGAGTGTTGAGGTTGTCAGTGACCGCACGGTGATGATGGCAACCATTGGCACGCTTTTTCAAGATGAGCTGTCCGGCTCCGCTTGGGGAGGCACTTGGCCAGCAGGCCCTAGACATGAATCAGGTGTTCCCGCTTTCCATGATCTGGCCATGCTCCTCAATCGGGAGGCCTGGGGCAAGCGTGTCATTCGTGGTGCTGTTTGGGATCCAGGTGGATACATGCGGCCGTGGCTGCGGACTAGTCATGAGGTGCTGCGCCTGCTTGGTGGCATTGACATGGAGTTCCTAGTTGAGATGATGGCTGTCAGGGCCATCGCCTGGGATGCGTTGCGCCTGCAATGCGGCATGCGGTTCATCGCGCAGATGATGACCGGCAAGACCATCACCCTTGATATTGAGGATTCTGCGATGGACGATGTGAAGGCGACGATCCAGGAGTCAGCGAAGTGCCGACCCGATAGGCAGCGCTTCATCTTCGTAGGCACGCAGTTGCAGGACTGCCGCACCCTCTCAGCCTACAATGTCCAAAAACAGTCGAAGCTGAAATTGGAGCTTCGCCTGTGTGGCAGCGGGCTTTTCTTCGTGCGGAATCAACAGTGCCTCATTTTCGCCGGAAAGCAAAAGGAGGATGGCCGCGGGCTTCCAGCCTACACCTCCGGAAGGAGCCGCCGATGCTCTTCCTCGAAATACGCCTACATGATGGCACGCAGTTCGTCGTGCAGATGTTGACAGCCAAGACCATCACCTACTTGTGGGACGTTGAGGCTTTCAGGATGCCAACATGATGACCTCGCTCTCTTGAGGACCTGTGCTTAAACTTTCGTGGTAGTTCATGGAGTTACAGATTCCTCGTTTTGTCGATTTTCGGCTTCTTGCATGGCAGCAGGATTTGTCAGACAGCTTTTGCTCGGACTTGAGCTGCTGGGTCGATCTGACTGTCCGCCTTTTTGTCGCTCACTGGCAGATTTCTGCGCCATCCCTCCCTGCAGGGTGAGTGCAAACTGCCGAACGAACTGTAATTAGGTGGAATTTATTTGCTAGATGCGCGTCCGATTCGGACTCAAGCATTACAGAAAGAAAGGGATCAGCGGCATGCCCTGCGGCGACGACACTGACGGAGCCTGGACAAGGTTGTCGGCTACAAGGCACAGCACGTCCCCAACCACGAGCGTGCGCAGGCGACCGTTGGGTTTGCGGAGAGCGACAATGCGCCCGACCCGGATCGCAGCGAGGATGGGGCATGATGGGGCCCTGGAACCTCTGCTTTCGTGAGCCGGTGCAAGCGCGCAGAGGCCCCCTCATGGTCAAGTGCTTCCAGGCCGTTGAGATTGGCGCCTGTTGGAGCAAGGACGCCCAACGAAGTTGCCGAACGAAAGTGGCGGCAAGCCTGCGCGAAAATGCGGACAGGAGAGCGGTCGCGCGCAAGACAAGTGCTGATTGTTTGCGCTTCCGACGTGGCCCCGGCTCGCACAAGAGCTGTTCTACTTGCCCCTGCCGAATTCGAACAAGGATGCCTGCTTTTCCGCAGTGGAACTTGGCCGTCCCTCCTCGCTGCTGCTGATGCGGCCTTGCGTGTGCCTGTGCCCGATGCTGCCCCCGCTGGCCGTACTGACGAGGAGGCTCGTGCAGCCAGGAGGGCATCAGCGTTCGTTCACTTGGGCGAGCTGTCCGCTGCTGGGCGTGCCTGTGTTTTTTTCTCTCCACATGTCTCAGCGCAAAGGGGGGCGACTCGGGCGGTCGGGCTCGGCAAACGCCAGCGCGGAGTCCAGGGTTGTACTAGCCACTATACTACTGCGGATCTGTTTGAAGTGAGCTGCTGACTTGATTAACTCCAGACACGAGATGACACGAGCCAACGACACAGGCTGTGTCTTGGGTAACTCATGTGAGGGAGCCAACCCAGACTGGCAAACATGGGCATGCAACAACCTTCTTTAAATGCCAAAAAATGAAGGGGCGACGGAGAGCATGCCCCACCAACGGCGTGCCCACGCAGAGGACGCTGAGGACCGGAGGGCCCGCGCACGAGCTGCCGGACGAGGTCGTGTCAGGTGGCGTCGGCATCGCACGATGGCTGGCGCGGCGTCAACTTGTGGCTGGAACGCAGCGGTCCGGCCAAGCTGCGAGCAGGAACATCCACACCAAGCTCCGCGTGAGGGAAGCGGAGAATCGTGGACGGCTGGGCAGCAGGCGCCCTCCACAACGCACCCGCCAAAGCCGCCAACTCACTAAAGCGTACGCCGACTTGGGGATGGCATTGCCAAACGTGCGTGGCGGCCTCTGTCAAGGCACCCACACCGGCGTGTAGCGGCGGCGCGAAAAGCCAGGAACGCGGCTCGCCTGGTGCGTCGCGAAGTTGGGCGCAAGGGAGGGCGGGCAATGGCGGGCAATGGCGGGCAGCGACGTCGGCGATGCTGGTGGTGTCAACCCGGGGTGGCATCCTTCGCATTCGATCCCGCTTTTGGATCGTCGCCGTGACTCTTCAAGCGCACGTGCTCGCGTGGTCACCCGAGTTCAGCCGCGTTACCTTCTCGTTGTAGCAGTTGGGGGCTCCTCCGCGGACGGCGGTGAGGAGGGATTTTAGCAATCGGGCAGTATGCCGTCCCGGTCAGACGGTGTCGACATGGCGGGCTAGAGGCATCGGCAAGAACAGGCTCGCACTGAACCAGCAAAAAACGGTGTTCCGAAAGGTCAAAAAGGGCTGTGCGCGTATACAGGCTGAGAGGCCGCCCAACGCACAGCCTTTCGTCCTTTCCAGGTTGTGGACTGCCTGACAGGACAGCCTGCTGTCACGTCGAGGAGGGCGATCTGATTGAAATCCACAACAGACAGAGAACCCAACTCTGCCTGTTTCCAGAAAATGGTATCCCTCATCTGTCTTCTGCATCGGATCATACCAAAAAAAATTGAACATTCGGCAAGGACACGGAACTGTTCAATTGCAGAAAACCCACGTTCGTAGTGCCTGCTCGATCCAGCGGCTACTACATGGGTAGGATGGTTGATTTCAAAGGACCTGTGGTATGCTTCAGTCAACATTCTCAACCAGGTGCGAAACATGCCAGCCAATTTCACCGTTTGCATTTTCGGCACCAGTTTGACGACGTACCCGTGGCACGATAGGCGATCATGGGCCGCTCAGATGACAAATTCGTCTCGGTCAGCACCGTGGCGGTTTTACTTTCCTTCTTCAACTAATTGGCCATCTCGGTTGAAGTTGAACTTGGAGAACAGGGACTTCGAGATCTTCATGCGTGTCTTGGCGTCGGGGGCCTTCCCAGCGACGCAGTGAGCGTGGGCTAGGTTGTGGCGAGCTCGATGCTCGTCGGACGGGTCATCTGTGGCGCAGCCAGCGGCTTGCGGCAACACAGGCATTTTGGAAGGGCTGAGTTGTCACGGGAGAATTAACCCATGACAACTCATCGGCTGCATCGTGACGAAAAAAAGCGTTCCGACACGAAATGGTTGTATCAAAGGCTGTGTGTGACCACATGCTGCGACATTTGCGATTGCGACGAATATCCACTAGCAACTTGGAGCAGCGGCGTTTTCTTAGAACACACAGATGCGAGTTGTGGGCATGGAGGGGCACAAAGGTGCAGCCAGCCAGTTGATGCTCGCACCTGGACATGCAGCGCCACGGCCACGATGGATGAGTTTGCTACACCTAATTGTTCGCCGGCAACAAGGTAACTCCATTCGAACGACGAAGGTGAACGAAGCGGCTGATGAACGTCATTTGGCAGCAGAGTTGTTGCATCATGCGCCACACCATCACTTGAAATCTTGTTGGGTTTGTTCAATTTGTTCAATCACGTGCTCACAATGGGTTATGTGCCATCCACCTCGCGGATAACACTGTTGCGGACGACAACCCTCCGATTGCAAGCCTCCGGCTGTGTTACATCGCACCGCCTCCTGTTTGGGGCCTGAAATCGGTGCGGCATCATGACGCTGCCATCAGCCGATTCGACAACCAGCGAGGGCCCGAGCTTGTCTGGCAGCGCTTCCCCTCTCACACGATGTCCACGCTGGCGTGCACGTACACCGCGAACCCGGCTCGCCAGCTCTCATTGCGGAAGGAACATGCCCTGCGGACAGTCAAGCTGGTGCTAGCGCGCAACTGGTGCACAGCTGGTACACGGCTGTTTGAGTCGAAGGCAACAGGCGATTCACATCGATTTACGACAGATGCTTCGTGCAGCTTGCAACGCGGCAAGGAAGAGCAATACTTCGTCACGACATATTATGTTGCGGGCATGTTTTTCGACCTGCCCGTGCATGCTTGGCTTTACAAGCCGGAATGCCTTGGTCTGAACTGTGAGAGTGAGAGGACCACTCTTGGCATACCCACGCATATGGACAAATGCTGCCTTCCTCTCAATGCTGGACCTGCTCAGATGCGACCGCCGGCACCGCGCGGTGGTCATCCGTGCGGTGCGCTCACGGCCGGGTACTTGGCTTCAGACTCGAACGCATTTCGGGTCGCTTGCTCACAGCCGCCTCTTGTGCGAAAGTGGGCGTCAACTGACTGACACGGCGCTCAAAAAAGTCATGGTGCCTCTCGCCGCCTTCGAGGGCACTGCCGAAGTCCTGACCTCTTCAAGGCCTTCGTGCATGGCTATGCGGCTATGCGGTCATGCGGCCATGCGCTTCGAAAGGTGTCTCTTGACGACGTGAAATCGATTTCTCCTTCGCCTCGTGACCTCGTGGCCACTTCTGCATGTGTCCCGCACATTGCCGGCTTTGAAGCCACCGGTCTCTGTGGCTATCGTGCTCTGGGTACGCAGGGACGATGTGAACTTACCGAAGAACTGCAGGAAAACTTCATCAAGCCTCTTGACTCTTGACCCTGCACTTGCCATTTTGCTCTCGCCCTCCATCTGCGAGGTCGAGGCTTGGGTCAAGCAGAGCCCTACGAGTAGCGTGCAGCTGCACTTAAGCTGCACAAAAGCTGCACAAAAGCTACACAAGCTACGCCCTTAAGTGCTCTCATCTTCCGACGAGGGGAAAAGCTGAGGCCTCGGAGACAGGTCAGACTTCGCTCACTTCGCTTCTTCCACCAACTTGCACATCTCAAAGAGAAACTTTTGATGCAATCTGTTACGATGCCCGCACGCATTTTGCTGATTTCCCACTGCCGCTCTGAGGCAAAGCACTCAGTCAAGCACGCTTGCTGCACCTTCCAGGGGGGCTGCGGCTGCAGCTCAAAAAAAGGCACTTTGAGTCAGCAACGCGACTGCTTTTTTGACAGGCGGCACCCCAAGCAACAGTGATGTCTGGGTCAATTTCTGTGTGTAGCCGCTTTGTCGGCCTCAGGAGTTTCAAGTCAGATCCGAGACCATTCCGGTGCCATGGATCTTGGATCGGAACCCGAAGAACTCCTGCAGCAGCTCGCGCAGCTTTGGCATTCGAGACCTTAGATGGCTGATTGTGCATGATTCTGCGCGTGATGGTGTACCTTCACCACATCTTCACCCATGAGAGGCCATGACGCGCCGCCAACGAGCACGACATCGTCAATATAGTCAGCGGTCATCATCTGGTCGTCTAAAACCTGCAGAAAGACAAGCACCTCCCACCAGCAACCCCACCACCCCATCTTGACCGTCAGTATGAAAAGGCTCGTATCATCTTATCAGAGCGCTGACTGACCACACATATATCGTGAAATTCGTCTGGCCTTCTGAACGGGCGCCATGGCGCGTCCGAAAAGCTCCGCGGCGCTTTCTTCAAACTCCGCGCGGGTCACGACCTCAGAATCGCTTCCAATGTAGTGTCCAGCCGCGACATTGTGGCGGAAACGCATGGAGGCATTGCAGAAAGAACTCTGCTTCAACCGGGCTTCGAACCAGCACTCGGTCGATTCCATCACTGTGACCTCGGGGTGTCGACGATCCATTCTGGCAGCGGTGCATGACAACATCACAAAACTCGGATAACAATTAACCTGCAAAGGCCTCTATTGAGTCTATTGAGTCTATTGCCAAACAGCTACTCCTACTAAGAGAGCTTCGGGCCCAACACCCAAAAATGTAGGGCAGATGTCATCGTCATGACGAGTTATTGCAGGTCCAGCAACTGACACATGGTGTGTGGGCACAAGTGAAAGCCGGTAGTGCTAAGGTTTTGGAGATATGGGGTTATAGACTTATGGAGTTTTGGAAACTTGAACAGGCTCGTCTGAGCCCCTCGCAGATCGCTTCAGCCTGACTGTTGTTGCTCAGCCTGCACGACATTTTGCTGAAACGTCCATGCCGAGTCTTCATCACCCCCGGCTCTGAACCATCTACTTGAATCTGCTTGCTACATTTGAACATTTGCCATACATGTTCACAACACGTGAGACGTGAGAAGTAGAAAGACACATTGCGCTCATTGCTGCAAGCGCAGGAGGCCTGATCTTGACGGCTTCCGCCAAGATGTGGAGCCCCGAGCTGTCACAGCTTTCCTGCAAGTCTGCAAGTCTGGGAGGAAACTCAACGCTGCCCCCCTTCCTCAAATTCAACTCCATACGGATGAGCCAATCATTGCCAATCCAACTGAGGAGAAAGTACGATTAGAAGTATTGTTACTCCACACGCTTCTGAAATTACCTCCCCCCCCCCCCACTACCCCAGCCATTGTGGTATCCCTGTGGTTCGTGGTGTGATCCACCAACAGTAATCACCATACGAACTGCAATGCTCTGCGGGACTGGGCATCAGCTCGCCTCAGTGTGTTGAGGGATGTTGAGGGATACTGTGTCACGGGGCGTTGGGCTCACATAGATATGAAACAATCTACAAACAAGCCGTGTGAAGCACGCTGGCAATCTCGCCCAACTCAACAGAGCGTAGCATGAAAGACATATTTTATGCGCTCCGTTCATTCAGTCGTCTTTCTACGGCAAGTATTACTAACTGATGTAGACAAAAACAACAAAAGCTGATATCAGTAGCTGACTTCCTGCATCAAACAGATGTTTAGGTAATTGTATGCGCCCTTCTCGATTCTGTTGAACCTGGCCTACAATCAAGAAGTAGTAGCGAATGAAAGACCAACCTCGAATTCCACTAATCAGTCTGCGAGCAAAGGACACATGAATTATCTTCCTAAAGGACAAGCTGTTTAATGATAGACCTATTTTCCGGAAAGGCTATATTCCAATGTTTCTAATCCACTTGCATTAGTTGTTGTATCATTCTTCATTGCAATGAAGTTTTCAGGATCGTCATGTAGGTTATACGTATCTAAACAAGACAAAAACTTATGTGTATATCTATACAAAAGTAGAAATATGTAGAACATATGATATACAAAAAGCAAGTTTACCTCAAAGAATTCATACAAATTGCGAAATAAGGCAAACTAAGAGTACATAGCAATGGTATCGGAATTTCTTGAACGGCCTACAGCTGCGTCCAAGCCTTTCCGACCCCAGCGGCCGACGTCCGCGCTTCGCCGCGCTCCTCAGGACCCAAAGTCCCCCCGAAAACCCCCCCCCCTCCCCCCCGATGTCCCCCCCCAAAATCCCTCCACCCCCCCCCCCTCCCCCCACCCCAACAAAACCGCTCACAAAGGGAAGTGGGAACCCAGGCCAGCTTCGACTCCAGCAGCCGCCGCATCCTCGGCTTCCACGAGAACGCAGATCTGGTTGCGCTTTCCCTCTCTCGCAGCTCTCAAGTGGCAGGTGCAAAAAACTGTCAAGATGTCTGTGGCCAAGCGCGGCAACATGCGCCATGTCTCAGATGATCTCAACCCAGACTGCCAGGATGCCAGCAACGCCGCATGCTACCAAGATGCTGGGTGTCAAAGTCCGAGCCGCCAAGGTGGTCATCTCCAGCAACGCTGAGAACGCTCACCTGACAGAGGTGGCCATTCAGCTCTCGTGCGTCTTACGGACGTGTGTCCTGGGGACTCTGGCCGCATTCCCGTTCATGTAAAGCAAGGAGGTGTCCAACGTGCCGCCGCCAATATCATAGACCAGCACCTTAGCCGCACTACGCACGGCGCCTCGGGAGGCCGTGGCACAGGCCACAGGAAAGCAGCTGAAAGCACGTCCGCTGGGCTCCAAGCATGCCTCACGCCCTCACCTACAGGAAAAGCTGAATAGAGCCTGCCCAAATCTTGCCCATTAACTTCCCTGGCACCACCATTGTCGTCTCTACGGCAGGTCATATGAAAGGCCCTAAAAGATGCGTCTTTGGCAATACATAAAATTGTAGCTGTGTTTTGGCCTTGGTGTAGGTTGTACGCCACCGCTGCTGCTGTTGGCTCCTGCACTGCAGCAGCAGGCTTCATAAGGGGGCGTCGGGCCTCACACGTCTTAAGCGTCGTCTTCGTATCTTGTGGTGTCACAAACGGCGCTGTTGGTTCCCCTTCCTCAAGATAAGTTGTACATTCAACCTTTTCTAACGCAAAGGCAGTGCAATGCAGAGTTTGGTGCCGCCCCCGCTTCTGATGAAGCACCTCTGTATTTCGGGTGTCGGAGAGCGCATGCTACTGGAGCCTCGCAATAAGTCACAGTCACAGAAACTAAAGATGCGAATTAATGTCGCTGAGTTGCTACTTGCATACTTGAGCGAAGTTCACCAGCAGCAACGTTAGAGAGTTCTGTTCTCTGAGAGCACTGACAAGAGTTGAACTGGAATTTCAGCCTGCGGCGATTAAAGAAGGTTCGGGTTTGAGGCAATGCTGGGCCAGCCCGTCCAAGTTTTCAGAACGAGACCCTGAAACTGTTCTGCTGGTGAGGGTGTGTGCAGGATTCCGTTTCCGGCAACATCCTACACCCTGCGCTGATGTTGTTTGACTGTGCACGAAGTCATCTCCTCGAGGATGCGCATGACCTTCATCCCAGCCCGCTCGAAGGATTCTTGCGTTGCCTATACCAGTCTCCAGAAAGACACAGAGGCCCCAAATGAAGCTTGAAGACTTCCTGCCTTGGTTTCAGCAACGCCAAACTTGGCAGGAACCTCAGAACGGAAACCCGGATAGATACTTGCATCACTCAGTATTAAGCTGTTGTTAGCAGTATATTTGTTGTTGAGGATCAGCATGGCCAGCAACGCAACACCACACGGCATGAGCCGAGCTTGGGTCATCACACAGATCACGACTCGCGATATTTCGAAGCCTTGATTCCACATGCTCAGAGGCTGAGTGGGATAGGGGGCTGACAATCTCCAGCAAATGACTCCGCTTGCGCGAGCTTTAAGGACCTGGCCAAGATGACGAGAAACTGAACGCCGCATGTGCCTGACCTGAGCCACGTTTCGCGCTTCAGCCCATGGAGATGTTTGATGATGGCCTCTGGGAAGCAGAATCTCCCACCGCCGAGGCTCGGACAACTTCCGCACCAACCTCTACCGGAGAGATCCACCTCTGCTCCGGATCATGCGCAGACAGGTGCAGACATGTGCCGAGACCTCCCCTTCCACTTGTTGCTTGGCGAGGATTGGGTCGTGCTGACAGAGTTTTTGAGAATTTCGGAACCAACCGGTGCCTCTCGGTGCCGTCCGCAAAGGCGACGGCAAAGCCTGCCTCATTACTGGCTGCGGGTGTGTAAATAGGCCCGAAGCTTCTTTGGAAATGTTTTCCTGTGTTGGAGCTGAAAAGTCTGAGACCGCAGCCGGACCACTGAGATCGGTGGCAGAGGGACTTCGGGAGTCTTTGGTGAAGTTCGCAGAGACCTCGAGGCAGCGATGTCACTTCAAATGTCAAAACAGCGATCTCAAGCGAGAAGAGAAGACTGTTGGACAGCAACGAATCATCCGAACACTCACAGAATGAACGGGAGCGGCCCATGCAGCAAAGGCACGTGGTAGGCGTGGGTGCCAGCTTCTAAGGAGACCTCGCAGAACGCAGAGAAGCCTTGAGTAGAAGCCTTAGAAGCTTCAGAACTCACACAGCAATCCTGAAACATCGGTGCCTCCCCAAGCCTTCGCCCGATGAATCGCTTGGCGTTGAAGATCGTGTGCTGGGGGTACCGGCCTGCGACACGCGGCTCTAGGATATGTTGCTTGGGCAGGACTGCAAAGGCTTTCAGTGCCTCGATTCTCGACTGCTCCGTCACCTACAATAATCTTCCCATCGGCCATAAAGGTCACGACCGACCTTTGCCAGAAGACCCACAGAAGTCACCGACGTAACAGCAGACACTACTTGTACAGAGTGGGCAGAGTGGGAATGGGCATCGGACGGTAGAAGCTGCTTGCCCGTAACATGGTCTGGGATGATGGAGATGGTCTGGCAAGAACTCACACGTCAACTATTGCCAACATGGCAGGCAGATGACAGCGAGCATGAGCATCTGCAGGGAGCACCCCGTCGGTTGCTTTCAACGCAACGACGGAAAAGGTCGTTCCCAAATCAATGCCCACAACCTGAAAAGTCCCAGGTTTGCTTGTTGCCAGAGGGCGATGGGCGCAGCAATATGCGCCTGTGGCCTTCCACGGAACCCGAGCGCTGCCAAGATCGACGAAACCTGTATTTCTGCACACATGAAGTGAAGGGTCATCCAAGTATTCGTGCAATGAACCAGTCAAACGAGTTTCCAAACTGATGCGCATGCAGCCGGCCACGACCACCACACCGCCGAGTGCCAGCAGGTACTGGTGCAGAACGTGCAGCAGTGGACTTCACTTAGCCACAAAACCCAAGAAATGTTCAAACTTGAATAAAAGTGCTTGTCTCCTGCATCAGCTTTTGCTGGGAGCTCCTGCTGGACTCTCATGGACAATGGTTTGCGGCCATTGTCGGCTGTCCCAATGCGGCGTGGGCTGAAAACGACGAGATGTGACTATGCTTCAAGTGTTGCCAGATGACAGGCCGGCTGTGACTCTCCGTGAGTCCTCAACTAGCAATCCACGTGCACATGGTCATGGTCTGGACGATTTGAAGTCCCAGGGGTGAATCCACATCAAGCACGCACAAGCACACAAACACAGGTCACATCCACAGCGTTGACTACTCTGGGGTGTCGATGGCTGAGCCCAAAAACATGAGAGTGAGGCCTTTTCCTTGGGCAACAAACATGATCTACCCATGGGGTCATAAGACTCGAGCACAGCTGGTAGATATTTGCAGGTTACCCTTGCAGAATCTTCAGCCGATAATGCAATCTCTATGCTGACGCTGTGCTCGTCTATGCTGGCTCATGACTGTTGCACTTCTTCCTTTGGAAGGAGTCTCTATTCCTAATGCTACATCCGTGAAACAAAGTGTGGCGCAGCCAAGCACAGCTATCCAGCAGCTGTTTTAGCCTGAGCGTCAGGTCATCAACAGCAGTCCGGGCAGGTTGTCCCACAAAATCGAGGAGCTGGCGCTAGCAATTATGTGCTCAACATCCAAGGCGACCGTCGCCATGGTGCAGGTGAAACCAGATCTTTGCCTAAGCCCACGAGGAGGGAGCGGAGGGAGCGAAGGGGTGGGAGCGGAGGGAGCCCCAATGGTCCCTGAAATGGGGATGAAACGCGAGACAAGTATGCTACGGCTCCCAGACAAGAGTTGGCTTCAAAGACTGCGCTGACACACACACACACACACAAGATTCCCCCACTAACTCTGCAGTGCCGGCAGGTCTCCAGAAGTCGGGCTTCTTCTTGCAGCCACATTTCTTCTTGGGGCACTTCCCACCTAACCAACGCACGAATCTACGGGCAACAGAGGTCGTTCAGGCGAGATTCCCCGACTGTACCCTCGCTGTGCTCAGCACCACAAAGGCATTGTCACACTTTCACTGCCATGAAGCCCTTCCACTTTTTGCGCATGCTTCCATCTGGTTCCCAGATTCCCAAACGACTGCTTTCTCAGCCAAGCTACTGAGGCAAGTCCTTAGATTGCAGTTGGGCTTGCAGGAGGATGTTCAACTCTCGGGCAGCTTCTAAGCTTGCACTTGAATTGCGCAAAGCATCCATCCATAGGAGCTAACACTGCAGTCGTTGATGCAGGTATCCCAGAACGACACGAAGCCACCTGGAGACAGCAGCGCGTATTCGGTTCCCTAGGAAGGACGGTATATAGAGCTTGATACGCCTCATGACGCCGTGCATGATAAAGTTGCTCTTTGACCCTCTTTGCAGCCCTGACACAGGCATGGCAAACCCAGCCATGTCGGCCGCTGCAAGAAGAGCAGGTGGCCTCTGAGGAGAGGACGCGAGGACGCTCCACGCGGCGAAACACGTCGCAGCTGTCCACTACGGTGTCACTACTTTCTCCACTGCTCTGCTCTGCATTCTCTCCGGGATTCTCCGGGCGTATTTCTCCGAGCTGCGTTGCTTCCCGGGTTCAGCTTGCCGCAATACACCTCATGACAACACTCTGCTCAGTGCACTTTAAGTGGAAGTTCCGGCCACGCCCGCGCCTCCAGCTTCTTCCTTGGCTTCCAAAGGGAAAAAATATGTAAAATAAAAACAGGTGAGCTTGCAGCAACGGGGCGCTTTCGGTAAAAAAGAGTGGGGCCAAGAGGCGGCTGGATGGCAGCTTGCACGCCAGAACTCATCGCCTGCATAAACCCGTCGAGGAGCTTGAGCTCCTTCGCTTCCTCTGCACGTTTGCCTCGGGTGCGAGATGCTTGCAACATGAAGAGTCAAGACCGGGCGTCCATGGGCTTCATTGGACCTCCCTTCTGCCCTTCTCAAGTTTGAGACCAGGTGCGATGCAGCGTCAGCGCGATCTTGGAATCTTGCTCCTCCTGCGACGTTCGCAGCCACTGGGCACCGTACTGAAACTCGTTGGATGCCCAAGGCGGTCACAGATGCACACAAAGAAGCGAACCGCGATGAAAAGGGCTTCCACGGCTTCCGACTATCAACAGTTGGCCGGACATGCCGGAACCCCGCTGCCGCTGTCAAGCAAATGCAACTTGGGGTTCTCTCAATCAAAACAAAACGAGCCCTGTCTAACCATCATATGGGGCATAGCAGAGCATAGCACAGTTGGATCGACTTATTATCGAGCCTTTTGGGGCTCCCCCGTGCTCCCTCCGACCTTGGCCTTCTTCTTCATCTTCTTCTTTTTTAAGTTCTCCCCAGAGAGCCAGGACACGAATTCCTGCAGATCCTCAGGGTCACACCACAAGCACTTCGGGCATTGGGGATACTTGAGATAGTTAGGGCAACTGGTCATGTACTTGCTGCTTGCTGAGATGCAATTACTCCATCACCATTGACGTCGATTTCAGCGAAGATCTTCTTCAGAGTGACCTGCATACTCTCGATCAAATGCTCATGGCTGTCAAAGCTACACCTTGTGCAAACAAACATTCAAACAAGAATCACAATTTGGCGAGGGTTTGCCAGTCTCGCAAACTTTGTGGCAAGGAAGGTTCAGCCTGAATGTGAGCGCAGCCTAGCATTCAAGGGTGCAGCTGGACCGGACCCGATGTGACGACAGCACTGCTGTCCTTCAAATCTTCTGCGAGGCAGTCGTCGATAATTTGTGCCCGGCAAAAGCCTGTGTCCGTGAGGCTGTGTGCAGCCACGTGCTCGCGTGGGCTGCTCCGTGTCAAGCACTTCGAGGTGCGAGAATCGGACAATACGGAGGCGAGTGTGAGGCGGAGGGGGGGTAGGGCCACAGCACGTCTTGGTGCTCTTGGAGAGCGGGGTGCCAAGAATCGCCCAAATGGAGCTGGGGGGCAGGCCATGCGACTCCGCTGTTCCGCCACCCACTTGACGTTCAAGTTCACCAATTGGCAATTGGCATTAGCACAATCAATATTGGTCATGCGTGGTGGGATGTCCGGAGATGGCCTCCGTGAACTTGGGGTTGACCTGCTTCAGAACCTGCGACATCTCTTCTGAGGAAACGCTTCCGTCGCCATTCTTGTCCTCACCGGGAGCCCATGGCAGAAGGCACCGTCCCCGCCCCCCCCGCCCCCCCCAAAGTGCACAGGCTTTCACTAACTTCTCCAAGCATCCCAGGCCAGGAAGGTATCGACCTTGGGTGCTGTTCAAGATGTCAGTGCTCTTGGGAGCGCTTCGGATCCTCCAGTGACTGTTCTGCGACCGGGGGGAGGCTTTGTGGCACAACTGAGCTGGGGACCAGCTGACCCAGGCCCTTCTCGTCACAATCCACCACCTGAGCATCCAAGGAGTGTCTTTGGGAGTGCTTCTGTCTTCTCGAAAGAGCAGAGAGGGCCGAGTCGAGAGAGTCACTGAGACGCCCACGGTCACGTTGGAGGCCTCGCGGAGCTGAGATCACTTCGGGAAAGAAGAGCTGTTTTCAGGCTTGGGTTGTTCAGGTTCAAGGGGTTCAGCGGGGAGAGGAGGTGATCAGAAGAGGGCCTGCAAGTGGAGCGTGATGGGAAAGTTCTTGGAATCCAGTGAGGCCGTCTTGTCCTTGAGAATCTCTTTGAGAGCGATGGTCTCTCCAGCTGCGTTTTTTGCGTGGTATTTTAAGCCTTCGGCACCATCAGGGCAAGATGCGTCGACAAACTTCAAGTGATTCAAGCCGAGAGGCCTTCCTCCTCTTCTTTGAAACCGCGCCGTTTCAGAAGTTTGGAGACATCGGCCTTCCAATCCTCGCTCCAGCTGACATCCTCCACCTCAGTGTTTAAAACGCTTCGGATGCTCTCACACAGCTGGCCATAGCTTGCCCATCCGGACTGTCGGGTCTGCTGTGTGTGACCTGTTCACATCTGGCACAACGTGCTAGGTAATGCTGATCAGCTGCCTTCTTCTGCACACCCTTCTGGTAGGTCTGCTTCCTGCTTGCTGGGACGTACGACGCACGCATGCCAAGAACTACTAATCCTTTAGCGACATCTCTTCGCCACTGCAGCGGAGTTACACTTGCTCGACGGTGGCCAGGTTGTCTGACACGAGCCATCCAATGTCCTGGTAGTTCACCTCACCTCAACGAAACTCGAGGAGAACACACAACTTGACGCAACCCACACACTAAATAGATCCGCCGGCATACGCTGCAAATTCTGCTGGACTTGCGAATCTCGTGCTCTGGTGCACTCTGATGGCACACAAAAAGCAGCAAAGTCGCCATCGCGATCTTGGTCGCACTTGCTGTACAGCTCCTCTGCCACAGCCTTCGAGAATCCGGCCTCCATCCTTGGTCCAATGCGAGGGGCACAGCTGCCCCCCCCCCCCCCCCCCCCCCCCCCCCCCTCCCCCCCCCCCCCCCCGCCCCCCCCCCCCCCGCCCCCCCCCCCCCCCCCCCCCCCCTCTCCCCCACAAATGAACAAGAAAGAGCTTCCAACTGGGTCACTTCATGTGTAGAACCCTCCAGGCACATTGGCAAGCACATTTCATTGTGGGCTGCGCTATGTGGCAGGTTGCAGGGGATGGTGTTGAGTTCTCATCTTCAAGGCACCGTTGTGAAACTAAAATAAGGCTTCAAGCCTTCAGCAGAGCGGTAGCACTTCCGCGTGCGTTGGGGGCCACGAGTTCGAGTGACTTGGCGCTTCTGAACGGAGCGGGACTGAAGCACAGCACCAGTTGCCACACCAAGCCCAGCCAACCCTGTTGATGCCAACCTCTCTTCGAAGTTGATCGCAAATGTTGGCTGCTAGTTGGGAATGATAGTTACACCTTCGATGACATGCACAAAGACGCGAAACTAGACCCCGCTGTCATGCTGCAATCTAAGCAATGTTTTTTGTCTTTTTCTTTCTGGTGTCTGGTGCTTTCTTCAGATCTGTAAACGTGCATGCACTTACGTGATTCTTTCAGTGCCTCACAATTTACGCCGCTTCTCCAAGTCTTTGCTGGGTTTTAAAATCGCAATGTAATTTCTTAAAGCTGCAAAGTCACTGCTTTGTCAATGTCCACGTTGTTTCGCCGTGTACAGCCACAGTGTCAATGTCACTGTGGTTTCGTCGTAATTAAAGTCAACAGTCCGTATGTACATCGTGCCGTTGCGGCGCTTCTGCGCTTTGTGTAGGGTATGCTGCTCCTCTAGATGATGCTATCAAAAAGACTCCGTGCACCATCGTCCTGCCAGTACTACTGTGTCGCAGCAGCAGCACCACCACCACCAACCCTCATGAAAGCCCAATGCGATGCTTAATGATTTTTGCTTTATGGGACCGAAGGCAGCCAAAGAGCTTCTGTCGAACGAAATCTTCCTCATTGCGCAATCAGAATCTGCCATGCAAACTCTACGGCTGCGTGCAGACCAAAGTGCACTGTGTTTGTCCGTCATGGGTCAGTCAAAACCAAGACTCTCGGCTGAAACGCAAACCTTGCTCTCTTTCCTCCTGTCTTTTCGCCTCCCATGAAGGGCTGAGCTGCCACTTGTGCCAGTCGCGGCGCTTTTGATGCCTTGAAAAAGAACCCAAGAAGCGGCGCCTCTTCGGCTGCTTTGGCCTCCTCAGCCTCCTTCCTGGCGGCGGAACAATTGCAAGGAGCGTGCAAGGACATAACAGCACGCATGAAAAACATGCACAACACACAAACATGAACACATGGTGTAGATGCACATATATATATATATATATGGTATATATATATATATATATGGTGCCGCACCCCATGTACCTACTTTTTTGCTCTTGATGTGCTTTGCCTGGCGACGTCACCCCTTGCAGGTAGAAACAACTTCGATACGCGAACGAACGATGAAGGGCAGCAAAAGGGAGCCCCGCAAAGAAAGGTGAGGTACAGCTACCGGGACAGCTCGGGACAACTGATGATTACGTTCATATCATTCATATCTATATCACGAACTAGCCGAAGGCATTGTTGTAAAGAAACTTCTAATACTTGATGGCAAGTAGACATACACCCTTAGCAAAGGCAGCATTGTAAAGATCGAAAAGTCCTTAATACGATTCCCTGCCTTACACCGTTGACAAACATGCACCGAACTATTTTTGCTTTTGCTAGTTGGCAGGGAGGCGCACGCAATACGGCCGGGAACACGCTGAATTCAATTAGTTGCATTCATGATTTCATCATTGTATGCTTGTTCAGCGCGGCCAAGCAATAATCGATTGTATATTGCAATAGGCATACTACAATTAAGCCTGTTTCCGGCCAATTACATTCGAAGAAACAGATGTTGCCATTTGCTACGCAAGATTTTCAGGCAGTCCATGGTTTGAAGTCAGCTTCCAGAATATCGACTGTTGTGTGCTTTGAAACGCATGAGGCTTCCGTGGAGCGCGCCTGCTCCGGAAGGCGGCCAGGCGTTCCTCAAGAGAAAGGGGCTGTCGATTTCGAGGGAGAACATTGGGGGTCGGCACTGAAAGAGGGGAACACACAGGCATGGCGGTCGTCCTCAGTTTCCGAGATTTTGCGCTTGTTCTCGGCAACGGCCATGTTCAACAACTGCGGACGGAAGCCGTCGGTTTGCCTGCACCGGATCTCCAGCATCTGCGCTTCTGCGCTAAAAAAGGCTGAGCTTTGCAGAAGGCATATGCAAGCCATGGATTGTGTTCGCGCAAGAGCCTGCCATCATGGCCATTGACCCAGCTCCAAAACTCGACGATCGAAAGCTCGCCGTCCTTGGGAGAGCCGCTTTGTTAGCAAAAGACTTAACACACTGGGAAAAAGAAGAAAGTGCGCCAAAAAAAGAGCTCTTAGAAGCGCTTGAGACGCCCGGCCTTGTTCTTATCGAACTGATCAATGAGAGCGTGGACGTTCTCTTGGCTAAAGTTCAGCGAAAGCAAAACCTGCTGAGACTCAACTTTTGACTGAGAGGGGCCCCTTCAGAGCTTCTTGGGAGTCTTAATGATTATAATGAATCGATTAGGGCTCTCAGCTCGAGGACAGCACCCTCTTCATCTCTTCCGCATCGATCTTGCCGCTGTGGTCAACATCCAAGAGGTCGAAGATCAGCTTGACCTGGAGACAAGAGAGAGGAACAAAAGAGAGAGCACTCTGCAGCTTAATATTAAGAGCACAAGAGAACACACACACACACACACGATTCTTTACAAAAGCATCGCTTTTTAAAAGCATGGAGGCGCCTCTTCGCCTTGTGTCTCAGGCTCTCCCAGTGGCATCTTCCAAGCACTGGGGGAGTCCTCAACCGCTGCAGTATGAGATCAGGTAAGCAGGATGCTTACACTACTACATACTAACATACTACTACTGGCGTTGGATCTTTGCCTGCCAAGGCCGCTAATGACTGGAAGCCATCGATCGAGCGAGGGCGCTGCGGGGTCACAACTGGCAAGCTGAGCCGCAATCGGAACGGTGGAAAGCATAGGGGTCGACAGCTGCTCGCACAGTGAAGCAGATCTGAACAGACCAACTGAGACCAGCTGTGGGTGAGAAAGCAGGTTGACTCATGTTGCACTTTCTGCTGAGCGCAATGCTTGTCCTGACGACACACACAGACGCAGAAACACGGTAGGCACAAACACAATGCCCAATCGCTCAGAAGAGCTCCACCGAAAGCCACCACCGCAGCCTCCGCAGTTCCCAGATGCGAGAAACTGATCAGCGCTCTTTGCATATCGCACTGGCATCGCACTGCGCGTCCCACCTGCAGATGCACCGAATTCATCGCCTCGGCTCTGGCCTTATACCCGTCGCGAAGTGCGTACTCTGTGCATACTCTGCGCATACTCTGTGCATACTCTGTGCATACTCTGTGCATCTCCCGATAGGCACGCGGCTGGCACCAGGAAAACGAGACCATCTGTTAATTTCGCGCTCAAGCGGAGTCTAGCGAGGCAGTAGTGGAGCCACGGATCTGGACTGCCCACATGCCATCAGAAGACTCGAAGCCAAAGCTTTCAGCTTCGAATTCTATGAATTGACAAACAATTTCGCGGCGGCACTGAGCATCTTAAGATTTCACGCATAAGGATGATGCGTGAGGCATTCCTTGAGACAACTCTGCCGGCCTAAGTATTGAGGTTGGAAGTCTCCAAACAACATTGTATCTTATATGCGATGTATGTTCTGCGGCAGCTGGCGACAAAAAGTTCCAATTCCTCAATGCCTAGGAAGAGGCTCGTGTTGAAATTCAGCCTCGCATGATTGACGGATGCCTGCGAAGTTCATCTATGGCAAATTCCTTGCCGGCAGGCAGCTCGTGTTCAACTGCAACATTCACTGGCATAGCACACGCGCTGGCATCCATCAAACACCGCTTGAAATCATCTACGTCGTTGGCTTCTTGGCTGCAACCTTTAGGAAAATGTGCCATCCCGTGCCAGTCAAACTCGCTATGTTCTTTAGAATGGGGGACCCCCGAGCTGCCTCATCCCAAAGGTAGAAACAAGAACTTGGAACTCGGACTATCTGAACACGCGCACGCACGCACGCACGCACGCACACGTGCGCGCGCGCACACACCCCGGCTTGGCCCGGCTTGGCATTCGTATCGTGGGCTAGATTCTGTGGCTAAGCCTGCTAGGCTGGAGGTCAGCTGGCTGACGCAATTGTGGGCATCATGTCTTTCCTGCAGCTGCGTTTCCCTTACTTTTCACGGGAGCCCAGGAGCTACACTGTTCCTCCTTTTGAGACGAAGTACGATCGCAGCAGCCCACGTCCACTGTGCCACTCTCATACACACTTTAAGAACTTACCGAACTTTCCCCACATGGCATCACCTAAACTTGAATATACTCCACGTACGTTGCATTAACAATACTCAACATTACACAATGCTTCATTAAGCTACAGGAAGCCTTTCCTTTTTTTGCGCCCCCCGCTCCGCGTCCCGCTCCCTTCCGCGCTGAGTTCTGCTCGGCGTTGCCTCCATACCGCGTTGCAGAGAGCCAAGCCCGTCGTACGAGCAGCGCGTTTGCAAAACCCACAAACCTACAAAACACCTCTTAAGTCACTGAGAAAATCATAAAACAAAACACGCGACCAAAATGAGAGCATCGGTTCAAAGGAAACAAAAGTTCAACATCGGCTTCTTATTTTCTGCGTTTTGCGTGGTCAGATTATGATCCGTGGTTTGCCCTCTGGAAATGCCTGGCACTGATGGGCACATGCCAAATGCCAGCCGAAACAATGCGGAAAACACGTTTACTTCGAAGAAATTGACTTGCGCGGCACAGCGTGCTCACATTGCTCGCTGCGCCTGCGCGGGAAAGCATTATCATCTAGTGGCTTCAGGGCAACTTGCACAACAACAAAAGACTTGAGCCAGAGGCGCCACGGAGTGCGGCGGTTCACCGGTGCGATCAAAAGCCTGAGCATCAGCTTGGGCAAAGGCTCCGGAACTGCGGAAAACCTGCAACCGCAATGTGTTGAACTTGCGATTTGCCCGTCCTGCCTTGGAACCGGATGGCTAGGCTGCAACGGAGGGTCATGCTTGAAGTTCTTAAAAGACGTGACCCACGTCGCGTTGCCGACATTGCCATCGCCACCTGCGGTCCCGAAGCCCCAAGCCCACCGCATTCCAGGGCGTGTTCCACTGCGCCACGGGTGCGCTTCCTTTGCCTTCGTGATCAAACTCCGCGGTAGCTCGGGGGGCACTCACGTCGTCTCACGAGGTCTCACACCATGAGCGGGTTGAGGCGCTGCCAAGCCAGGTCCTGAGCACGTTCCGTCCCCATATACCCGGCCCATGTACCCCTTGCGCAAGTCAAGACCCCGTTGCCTGCTCATTCAAGGCGGACTCTGTGCGGCCTTGGATATCTGGAAGGGATCGTCTCTGACATTCTTCGGCAATCGGCAATGCTGCGGCTTGGCAGTGCAGAGCCGGCTGAGAAGCCAGCGTGCTAGAGAAAACGAACAGCACACACAGCAACAGACAGAGGTTGCGGCACCGACGCAGCAACTCTGGAGGTAGTATGACGTTCAAGTACTGCGGATTACTCATACGCTGCAGGATCCCACGCTGTTGCTCGGTGGGGAGCATTGTCGTTATTGGGAACCCGATCACCACCCTCTTCACACACACACACACACCTGGAAAGCAAACTCAAATCCGAAACAAACCTGGTCTACTGGCGTTCCAACTACTCTCGTTAGGTTTCCTGAGAAAAGAGTCCGCCTCAGCCAACATGTGGCGGATTGTGGCTTCTGCCTGCTCTTTCTCAATAAAGATTCGGAGAAAACTTCGGCTCTGTGCAGGGCTCTGCGCTAAGTCTTCATTCCTTCCTTGTGCTACACCCGCGTTGGTTTGGCACGGCATACCTGTGATGAATCTATATTTCTGCTTCTTTTTTCTAGCTCGGGGCACTGATCAACCACAGTGCAGTCGCTGCGTGCAAACTGTGAATAGGGCCTTCTCTTAAGCTAGAAAGTTGAAGGAAAATCCGGGATGTTGTTCCTGAGCAAAACACCACAGACCGGGCACGACCAGTTCAAGATGAACCAGTCGGAAATGACCGAGTATGTCGGGCTGTTCTGTTTGGGCACTGTATGTGCTGAATCATGGTTCGTATGCCTGTGAGTTTTGAAGAACGATCCTGCGATCTTCCGGAGGAACCGTTCAGAGCCAACGTTTTGGAAGGGAAGCTCCTCGCGAGTTGAACAGAAAACTGTTGGGGGGAAACTGCAGGGAACCTGTGGATTGTAAAGGCCTCCGCCAAGACTCTGGCTGGAACCTATGTAAGCATGGACGCGGCTGAGAACCGGAAAAACCGAAACTTTGAGCTTGGAGTTGCCAGTTTAAGGAAGATGTTGAAGGGAGACTGCTTGATTCAAAAAGCATAAACGTTTATTCAACAAAACATCCTGGGCGCTCGGGATGCAAAGGTGGTCTCCTTTAAATTGTTCACCAAAACTTCTACAGTCCCACTGACCCATCCAAGCGCCACAGAAAGATCGAGTTTTCTAAGGACACTATCTATGGTTTTTCTAGAAAAGACTTGAAAGTCAGATTCTGCGCCGCAGCCGGACAAGCGCCGCACACCCACGCCGGCAAACCGAGTAGTTGCTCGACGCGCTTTGGGCCCCGACACTGCTGCTCAACCTGCACAAAGAAGCAGACGTCCATTTGTGCTGTTCACTGTCGTTGCACTGTCGTTGCACTGCCTGCCCGACCGCAATCATCAACAACTTCCCATCGTTCTGCAGCGACTTAACCTCATCACGTCCGTTGCACGTCACATGCTCATCACATTCCACAATGTTGCAGAGCCGAATTGGCCACCGTTGGCACACCAGGACGCTGACAGCATACTCCAGCGCGAAGCCATTCCGCTGCGCCGCCAGGCACATAAACTCCCGGCCAGCGCGCAACTCCTGGATGGAATCCGCACATCACCGCATGTCTATATTCGTTTGACGTGGTGGCCCAAACTATGTTCTCAAAGCCTTTCAAAGCCACTTGGCCTGGGGAGCAAAGACCAGAACGGAAGGATCTCGGGCAACAGCCTTCCATCACGAGCTCGCGTCCGCACATCAAGAAGAGAAGGCCCACTGCCTTGAGCCAGAGGCCCCAGTCACAGCGCAGGTCTTCACCTCATGCGGATGCTCTGCTGCTTTGACACAAAGTCCCGTCGAGGCACACGAAGTTCCCCACCAAACCAAGCTGTGGCAAGGCCTGCATGACGAATCCCATGCGGCTGGTGCTCTGCAACTTGCCTGGGCAGACACGAAGGCTGATAAGATGGCTCTCTGGTACTCCAAGACTCTAGGCACCACACTCCATCAAGCCCCTGTTGTTGCGCGCCTGCGGTGGAACAGAGAGGTGGCACGACGTGTTTCAGAGCACCCTAATTCAATGATGGTCTCGGCAGTGCTCTCCAGAAGTTCAAAAGCCGCTCAAAAGCTGCTATCAGACTATCACAAACGTTCAAATGTCCTGTTGAGATCCTCGCCTCGGCTGCAGCGAAGGCCAAGGACGCAGCATCTTTCTTCACGGCCGCCAGCGCGATATCTGGATCTGCCTGAAGCTCCTCCAGTCCAGGAGGTGCTCTAGTGCTCTAAGGAACGGAGCACGCTTACGTGCAACTCCTTTAATGTCATTTAGCTTGCTTCTTCCCCCCTTATCCCAGCCGTTGGGGGGGGGGGGGGACGGCGGGGACCTTGGAAGCGTAGCGCAAAGCACGGCCTTGGTTGGAGACGGCCGCCAAGACCTCAAGTGAGGGGAAGGCACGGGCGCTGCAGGTAGGCCACAGATAAGCTCCACTCCACTTCGCGGTCGTTCTGCAACTCCTGCATGGATGGAACTGGGTTGATTCAATTGGCGTCTGATTAGTCCACCCTGCCACCAGCCCCCTTTGAGGTGGGATCGAACCCAGTATCGCATCCTCTTCGCTCAGCTAACGCTTCACCAAGAACAGCGAGAGCCAAAGAAGGGCAGCTGCGACAAAAGAGTCAAGGAGCGTTCCAACGAGCCGTTTCTGCGCCACTCCGAGGCCTGGCACGCGTGCTCCAGGGACGACCCATGCTGCTGGACCGCGGCAAGCACAACGCCCTGGCAGAACTCTCTGCATCCCAGCAACCATCTGCTGTCAAGCTCCGTGCAAACTTCCGCTCAAAAACCCAAAACATGAGCTGCCGGGCAGATCTTGAAAGTGAACTCTTTTGAATCAAACTAATTGGTACATGGCACGTGTCCACGCTCTCATGATGTGATGATAGTCACCACACAAGGTAGCTTTGTTCTCGGCCACTAGGGAAACACACCAAACCTGATCCAGAAAGGCAAGGCTGGCAAAGCTTTTCAAAGAAAGAGCACGTGCCCTTTGTCATCTTCGCACCCCCGCGGTGCCAACATTATTGATCTCAGGTTAAAGTGACTCATGGAGTCGTCGTCGTACAACATCAGCTACACACAAGTACTTACAAACTAATTATCGTTCGATGCGGCCCTACGCACCTTTCCACTCATCTTCTGACCCATCTCTGTACCCCAACCACATCCTACCACCGCCACTCTCTGCTTCTCCGCCCGCTTCTTTGCTGCGCCACCTTGTTGGCCTTGAGATCGCGGGAGGCATAGGCCAGCGCGGCGCCAGTCTGCCGCACCTCTGGGCCACAGGAGATGGGGAAGGCGCTTTGGTCTTGAAATTTCAGCTGAGGGCTTTTGTGCAGGTGGCTTGGAGGGTTATGGCAGGATTTAGAAGCGGGCTATTGTCTCGAGACTTTGACTGAGACGGCTGCCGCGCACAGGACCACTTCCTGGCAATCCTGCCTCGGGTCGCCACGCGTTCACACAAGTTGGGGGACTTTTGGGCACTTCGTGGGGCTTGCCGTAGCTAGACGTCGATGTCTGGAACCTGTGAACGCAACCGAGGCGGCCACAGGTCCGAAGAAGCGAACTTCAGAGAGAAGCCGTGTCTTTCGAGCACCTGCACAGCTTGGACACCCCCAACAGCTGCAAACATTGGCCCTGGGAGGGCCAACCCTCCCAAATCACCGCTGCTCTCTCTCTCGCTCTCCAAGGGTCCAGCTGCCATAACAATCTCCCGGTCGTCGCGAATATGTTCTGGCGCCTTCCTGAATAAATCCTCAGTGGTCATCAAGTCACGACTCTAGCATCCATGACATCAAGGAGATACCGCGACTGGAGTGAGCAATTGCGCGTGGATTGTGTTGCAGACAGAGTCTATTCCAGGCTCAGTTGTGCAATGTGGGTTTTGCACACAGCTGCGTTCATTATTGATTTAGTTTTTCTCTTGTCTTTGCCCATGGAAGTCTATTCAGCGGGTTGTGAGCAGCTGTGGGTTTGCTTAACGCTGAACGCTTTGCTCCTACTTGGCTGTTCCCTCCTCGAGCGCTGGCAACTGACTCTTTGAGTGCTTGAAGCTATTCGGACTGCTGATTGATGGAAGCCCTTCATGATTCTTTTGGTCTTCATTCAGCCCCGTAGCGAGCAGCGTGCCAAGTGAAATGCCGAGCCTGGGGGAAGTCGGAAGCGCGAAGACGCTCTCGCCTTGGAAAGTTAAGGCATTGAAATGTCGCGAATTTGGCAAATACTGTTTAGTCAAATTTTTCCGATGTGCCATGATGTACCGCTGCTTACTGGGTTTCCAAGCCACTCTGCAAACTCCGGATTCCGCACCAGAAGGGTCAGAATCAAGGAGGGGTAAGCCTCCGCCACGGCACCTCAACACTGAGACTTGCCAGTGATAGGTCCGAGTCACAGTACTGGACAGAGCGAGCTCGCATTGCTAAGGACAGGCACTCAGGGCATCCGTCTCCTCCACGGAAGCAGAAATCACAAGTTTGGGCTTCGCATGCTCGGCAGTGCTCGGCAGTGCTCGGCAGTGCTCGGCAGTGCTCGGCAGTGCTCGGCAGTGCTCGGCAGTGCTCGGCAGCCCTAGAAAACAACGCCATGCGTGAGAGCATCCTGTTTTCTGCAGGTCTGACGCGGTATACCCCTCCTTTCCCCTGTTGAAATCAACTCACATTATAGCATCTTGGCGTGACAAGTCTGGCTTGCCGCTCGTCGGGGACCATAGCAAAATTGCTCAGTCAGGCCAGGTTATGCTACGTCTGCTATGCTACGCTATGCTACACTTGTGCTCTTTAAACTGACAATATGTCCCGGCTTACAGGAGCGGGCATGCGAAATGCGAAAAGATCACAGAACTCCAGACTCCCTGTGTGAGAAGTCCCTTTACTCGGAGAGTCACGGCAACTCTTGCAGGACGGTCTCCCCTGCAAGAACTAGCGCACTCAGATCTCACTCAGATCTCGCTGAACCCTTGGGGGACCAAGTCCTCCTCGTCTTCTCCATATACGAAAACTTCAATGTAGCGACTGCCAACCCACTGGTGGTTGAGTTTCTTCTGGGCCGTTTCCGCATCCTTGCGGCTGCGCATCTGGACAACGGCCTGGCCCGAGGGCCTGCCGTTCGCCTTGGGCAAAAGATGTGCCGCCCCAGGCCCATCAGAGATCAAATCCGCGACCTCGTACTGTGCAAAGAAGGCCAAGACATCTTGGATGGTTACACTGAAGGGTAAGCCCCTGAGACGCAGAGCAGCAATGCCGCTCTTCTCCTCGACGTTCTCCCCCGGAGCCTGTTCCTCCACGCTCCCATTGCCGGTTGCTGCGGTTCGGTTTGCAAAGGGGTGCGCCTGCGGATGGAGATGCGCGTGGCTCCTGAGCGACCCATCTGGAGCCTTGCTCTTCTTGGGGCCCTTGAGTGGCTCCCCCCAATGCATGCTTGGATTCCACGGGGAATAGGGCTGCCAGTTGTAGTTTGGCTGCCAGCCGCCTTCGTTCTCACCTGAGTTGTGCTTTAAACCCTTTGAAAATTATTTATGAATAGGGTCCCTTATACAGAAACAAGGGAACTGAAAAAAATCTCCCCCAAAGCACAACCCAGTCACTGAAGTCCAAGATGGGCATCATGGGATCATGCTGCTGGGGGCCTGGGAAACTGTAGGGTGGCCAGCTCACGGCCGGCAAGTTGTCCAGGTCGATTGAGGGCAGGTTGACATGATGATGGGCCGGCGTGCCCCAGTCGCTGGGAGTTGCCATGAAATGGCTATGAGGAGCGGACCCAGGCTTCGTTGGTGAAAGGAATCGCTTGTCTGGCGTCTGAGGCTCTGGATGAGGTTCCGGATTGGGCAGCGCCAAGCTGCCCAGGCCCCAACTCAGGGTATTTTCGGAGCCGAGGAGTGATGCCACTGCGGCAGCATCATCCGTGCTCAACGTGGTCATGTTGGTCATGTTGGTCATGTTGGTCATGCCCAGGCTCAGCCAGTGCACCTTCTCGCATCCTTTCGGCCCGTCAATCAGGAACTCATGGGGGAAGCGGGCAAGGAAGTGCTTAAGTCCGAGATTGGCTCTCCGGAGGTAGGCACGAGACTGCTCGGAGAGGGCGATGCCAAGCATGCTCAGCAAAATCTGTTGGCGCCCGGGGCCACTCATGTGATCACGGCACTCTTGCAGCACGCGCTCCTTCTCCTCTTGATCGGAGTGCGCATCCCACACTGCCTCAAGTCCAAAAACACTTCAAACTCCCCAAACCCCCTATACCCCCCTGACCCCCCCCCTCAATCCCCCCCCCCCAAACAAAAAACAAAAATAAATCGCGTGCCGAGTTGCGGCAGCCAGGGCCGGCTCCTTGAGGAGGTCGTCTGCCTTCCTCCGCCCCCGGCGGTCAGCGCAGGCCAGGACCTCGATGTAGCGATCCCCCATCTGCCTCTTGTGCAGTGCATCCCGGCACTTGTGTGCAGCCTGAGGGGAAACAAAAAACACTCGTGCGAAGCCAGACGGCCGGCCATCGCGGTTTGAAAGGAGCCGGATGTTGTCCCGAACGGGGCTCAGGAATCCTGGGGGGCTTGACAGCTCATGAGCTTAGCCATCAAATCCATCAAATGCTTGCAGAAAAAGAGAGAGAGATAGACAGAGATTTAAAAAAAAAAAAACTCACTAAACTCAGGCCGGACTCGTGCATGATCTCCTAAAAAATTCATCACGTCAGCGATGGTGGCCCGGAAGGGTAGGCCACGAAGCTGGACTGAGGAAGGGTTCAAGTTGTCCTCATCTCCGACCACGGCATTTGCTTCCTTGGCCGACAACTTGCTTGCGAGCTCCATCTTCTCGACCTTCTCCATCTTCTCGGGCTTCTCCTTCTCCTCCTCCGTGCCATTTGGTATTACGAAGGGGCCGATGGGGCCTCCGACAGGTCCGACGGGGCCTGGTAGAGCCGGTGCCGGTGCCGGTGCCGGTGCCTTCTCGACCTTCACTGTTTCGGCAGGCTTCTCTGCCTGAGGCAGCATTCCCACAGTCAGCATGACTCGCTCCTCGCCTTTGGGCCCAGACACCGCAAAGATGCTGAAGCGATGTAGCCAACTGCACACATACTCTGGATCTGCCTTGGAGCGGAGTGATGGAGGCAGCCTTGATACGATGGTGGCCAAGGGCAGAGACTGACCCGGGCACTGGCTTAGGGCTGTGCAAAGCTTGGCGAGTATGTCGCCCTCGCTCGGTATCTCACCATCTCCACCCTCCTCGCTCAATCGGCTCTGCTTGTCGCCCATTGCGTGTCGCCCCCGCAATGGTCAAACCCTAGCTGACTGCACCCCAACGTTACCAACGTTGCCCGCTAACGGCGCTAACGCAGTGTGGGAACGTGTGAGATGGCAGCTAGCCTGTGGGCGTGCTAGCATGCAACTGCTCTTGAATGGGCTTCTGAACACTGCAGGAATGAAAGCTAGCTTGCTGTTGCTCGGCACCGGCTCACGCCGGGGCCAATGGCAAGGAAAAAACAAGCTCTCACTTATGCGCCCACAGCTGGAGCCGGAATCGGTTGAGACGACATTGGAGATCAACATGGCAGCGCAGAATTGAGCACACAAAGAAGCACGTCCAGGAGACCGCAGACTGCACAGCGCCTAGGCCTGCTGCATGACTTCGTCATAGCACGACCACCAACGAATATCAATAAACATAACAACAGTGATCATGATAATAACCATGGCAAAGGACGACAAATGACAATGACACTGACACTGACAATGGCAATGACAGTGACAGTGACAATGACGACCATTCATAATGATCATGACTCTTGATCATAGTAAAGAAGATGACAAGGACCATCATGATGTCATATTCACCATGGCCATGAGGCTTTCTCACATTACAATAGAGAACGATTATCTAATTGAGCCATTCTGGACAACATGATTCTCGTCGCATCACCGCCAACATCATCGTCGTCATCGTTGTTGCCGTCGCCGTCATCATGTCAACAAGCCATCGTCACCCCGCTGCACCGGCCTTGAGCTCCTGAGTGCCGGAGAGGAGCCTCTGGTCACGCTGGGGCCTGAGGGGCCACAGGACCTGGGCCTGCGCCTGCACTCTCCCGACACGCTCTCTTCGAGGTTCCTGCTTCCAGTGGTCTTTGAATGGGGCCCCGGCACACCTGTCATCTCCTGGCACATTTTGCACAAAAGGCGCGGCTTCGCAGAGACCTCCGACGCCCCGGCCTCCAAGACCTTCATGGCATCTCCCACGCACCAGCCTCCGTGCAAAGTTGTTATCCTCCTTTCATTCCTCTTTCATCTTTAAACCGAAGCGAGAAGCTGCCCCACCCTGCTGGCCATCGACCACCCAAGAGTCTCCGCTCAGGCTGTGCGCCGTCACCTGGCGCTGAGCGTCTTAAGGCATTCTGAGACAAATTAGGTATTCTGTACTTCGAGCAAATTGTCGTGGTGCCTATCACGATGCTCCTTGAATATTCCTCTTGCCGACTCAGGCCTTCATCGAAGGTAGGGGACTCGTAGGCAGGAGGCCGCGGGCAAGGACGTAGGAATGAAGGCCACACCCTAGCGTACAAGCGTACAAACGCAGAGAGCCAAAACGATTCCAAAACATCGACAAAAGGCAAACTCTGCGAACAGTCTTTCTTGTCAGTATCTGGGAATTGTAGGCAATAGATGGGCATCAGAGAGCCTGGGCTGTTCTCATGTGCCAACTTGCGGCTGTCATTTCAGGGCTGGTGGATTGTCAGGTGCCACCAGTTTCCGTCCACTGCTTCGCCTAAACTGCTGATGTATAGGCTGCGCGGGTCTATCTGACTCTGTGCCACGAAGGTGACACAGCCGTTTGCAGTGTCAAGCCGGCATGTTTTGCATTCGCTGAGTGAAGGTTGCATTATGCCATTCTGGCGTAGTTGTGCACTGCTTGTTTGAGAAACTTCTGCTCCGCTGCAGATTGGTAGGGTGCGTGAACTGCATTGAATGGCCGCTTGACTGATCGGTTGGGTAGGAACCTGTCTGAACAACTCACTGGCTTCCGTCCTTTGCTCGTGTCTTTTTCTCGCAGCGACCGCAGAGTCTCACGTTCCACAAGTCCGCTGCATGGCGGCCGGCTTGTGATGTCTCCTTGAAGGCCTGACTACGGGCGGAAGGGAAGTAGGGACCCCGAATAGCCTTCAGCTGGCTTTCTCGGGTCCGCCGGGGGGTCCACGCCGCCTTCTCAGAGGAGACTTGCGGCAACCGGAAGATGCAGATGCCCAGCTCCGCGCAATTGGCACAACGTGCGCAGTGCACCTTGGCCACGAGGTTGCTGGGGCATGTTACTTAGGCGAAGAGCTTCGTCGACTTGACTGCCGGGTAGATCCAGCATGCTTTTTGTCGCTCGGCCTACTTCAGGCTGCTGGTAGCTTTCCTGCGAGAAGTGCAAGGCTGCCAGGCCCTCAGTTGCGCTGGCTCGCGCGACTGGGTTCGGACCTTCGGCAGTTTGACCTCACAAAATTCTAAAATTATGAAGCCTCGCCATCACCTCAGTTGAAGAAGTAGCTGGAGAAGAGCACCTTGGGTCAGGAGCCAGGAGTGCAAGAGGGTGGGGTAAAAGGAGGGGAGCGGCAACCGTCGCATGCAGCATCATCCCGTCATGGTCACATCAGGTTGGCCCCTGCCATTCGTGAGGCCCGTGCTGAGAGGATGCAAATCAGCAGCAAGCCCCAGTAGAGGGAGGTTCGGTTCAGCTCGACCTGCCATGCACTTAGGGGTGCTGGGAGGATGGAAGTGGGATGGAACTGGGATGGAAGTGGTGCGAACGGGCGTCAAGACGTGCCGGAAGCTGCGGGCAGCATGGCATCGTTGGGGCGAGGCTCCGGCAGGGCCTGGCGCATGGAGCCATGCACTGCTTGTTGCACGAAGATACAAAAGGCTCCCTTCCCTCTGACGTGTCCGCCTTCAGCACCACTGGCGACTCCACTGCCGTGAGCTCGATGCTGCTGCCAGCAAAGGCACCTGCCTGGGAGCCGGGCATCTGCAGAGAGAGACGACTCAGAGCAGAGCTCCCACAAAGCCCCTGCCCCCCCGCCAAAGCTCCCGCCTGGCCGCGCAGGGCAGGGGCCTGAGCCACGAAGACCTGACAGGTTTGGCTCTAACCTCAACCATTCCTCAACATTCCTCAACCATCTTGAACACTGAACATCACTGAACTCAACATGAAAAATTCTGAAGTCGCAAAGAGTGATCCTGAGCACGGCACGGCCTCCTCCGGGCCGCTGGAGGAGAACAGCCAAAGGCATGCCTGCCACATGGACCACCAAGGCTCCAAGCGGCCAAGCAAATTTCTTCAAGTCTCGCCCCAGGCGCCGCCACGGCAAGGACGAACAGCACCGGGCGTCGCGCGGCCATCACGTCGGCTGGGGCCTGAGAGGCAAGCAGTAGGCAGGGTTCTCAATTTCCCGGCCCTCCATCCAAGCTCAAGGCTTCAACTGGGGCAGGTTTGTCGGCAACAGCTCTGAGCCCATTTGGCAGCCATGCAGCCGGTTTGCGCAGCTGGTGAGCATACAGCCGAGGACATTGCAATGAGGACATACCAATGAGCACCGGAAGGGCAGCTGAGGTGAGGGCAGATGACGCTCAGCTCCGCGCAAGTAGCACAATGTGCGCATTAGCACAATGTGCGCAATGCGCCTTGGCCACGGGGTTGCTTGCGCATGTCACTTAACGAGACGTAGGGGGCGAAGAGCTTCGTCGACTTGATTGCCGGGAGGACCCAGCATGCTTTTTCCGCTAGGCCTACTTCAGGATGCTGGTAGCTTTCCTGCGGAAGTGCAAGGCTGCCAGGCCCTCAGTTGCGCTGGCTCGCGCGACTGGGTTCTTGACCTTCGGCCGTTTGACCTCACAAAATTCTAAAATTATGAAGCCTCGCCATCACCTCAGTTGAAGAAGTAGCTGGAGAAGAGCACCTTGGGTCAGGAGCCAGGAGTGCAAGAGGGTGGGGTAGAAGGAGGGGAGCGGCAACCGTCGCATGCAGCATCATCCCGTCATGGTCACATCAGGTTGGCCCCTGCCATTCGTGAGGCCCGTGCTGAGAGGATGCAAATCAGCAGCAAGCCCCAGTAGAGGGAGGTTCGGTTCAGCTCGACCTGCCATGCACTTAGGGGTGCTGGGAGGATGGAAGTGGGATGGAACTGGGATGGAAGTGGTGCGAACGGGCGTCAAGACGTGCCGGAAGCTGCGGGCAGCATGGCATCGTTGGGGCGAGGCTCCGGCAGGGCCTGGCGCATGGAGCCATGCACTGCTTGTTGCACGAAGATACAAAAGGCTCCCTTCCCTCTGACGTGTCCGCCTTCAGCACCACTGGCGACTCCACTGCCGTGAGCTCGATGCTGCTGCCAGCAAAGGCACCTGCCTGGGAGCCGGGCATCTGCAGAGAGAGACGACTCAGAGCAGAGCTCCCACAAAGCCCCTGCCCCCCCGCCAAAGCTCCCGCCTGGCCGCGCAGGGCAGGGGCCTGAGCCACGAAGACCTGACAGGTTTGGCTCTAACCTCAACCATTCCTCAACATTCCTCAACCATCTTGAACACTGAACATCACTGAACTCAACATGAAAAATTCTGAAGTCGCAAAGAGTGAGAATGGGCAACCTGAGCACGGCACGGCCTCCTCCGGGCCGCTGGAGGAGAACAGCCAAAGGCATGCCTGCCACATGGACCACCAAGGCTCCAAGCGGCCAAGCAAATTTCTTCAAGTCTCACCCCAGGCGCCGCCACGGCAAGGACGAACAGCACCGGGCGTCGCGCGGCCATCACGTCGGCTGGGGCCTGAGAGGCAAGCAGTAGGCAGGGTTCTCAATTTCCCGGCCCTCCATCCAAGCTCAAGGCTTCAACTGGGGCAGGTTTGTCGGCAACAGCTCTGAGCCCATTTGGCAGCCATGCAGCCGGTTTGCGCAGCTGGTGAGCATACAGCCGAGGACATTGCAATGAGGACATACCAATGAGCACCGGAAAGGCAGCTGAGGTGAGGGCAGATGACGCTCAGCTCTGCGCAAGTAGCACAATGTGCGCATTAGCACAATGTGCGCAATGCGCCTTGGCCACAGGGTTGCTTGCGCATGTCACTTAAGGAGACGTAGGGGGCGAAGAGCTTCGTCGACTTGATTGCCGGGAGGACCCAGCATGCTTTTTCCGCTAGGCCTACTTCAGGCTGCTGGTAGCTTTCCTGCGGAAGTGCAAGGCTGCCAGGCCCTCAGTTGCGCTGGCTCGCGCGACTGGGTTCGGACCTTCGGCAGTTTGACCTCACAAAATTCTAAAATTATGAAGCCTCGCCATCACCTCAGTTGAAGAAGTAGCTGGAGAAGAGCACCTTGGGTCAGGAGCCAGGAGTGCAAGAGGGTGGGGTAGAAGGAGGGGAGCGGCAACCGTCGCATGCAGCATCATCCCGTCATGGTCACATCAGGTTGGCCCCTGCCATTCGTGAGGCCCGTGCTGAGAGGATGCAAATCAGCAGCAAGCCCCAGTAGAGGGAGGTTCGGTTCAGCTCGACCTGCCATGCACTTAGGGGTGCTGGGAGGATGGAAGTGGGATGGAACTGGGATGGAAGTGGTGCGAACGGGCGTCAAGACGTGCCGGAAGCTGCGGGCAGCATGGCATCGTTGGGGCGAGGCTCCGGCAGGGCCTGGCGCATGGAGCCATGCACTGCTTGTTGCACGAAGATACAAAAGGCTCCCTTCCCTCTGACGTGTCCGCCTTCAGCACCACTGGCGACTCCACTGCCGTGAGCTCGATGCTGCTGCCAGCAAAGGCACCTGCCTGGGAGCCGGGCATCTGCAGAGAGAGACGACTCAGAGCAGAGCTCCCACAAAGCCCCTGCCCCCCCGCCAAAGCTCCCGCCTGGCCGCGCAGGGCAGGGGCCTGAGCCACGAAGACCTGACAGGTTTGGCTCTAACCTCAACCATTCCTCAACATTCCTCAACCATCTTGAACACTGAACATCACTGAACTCAACATGAAAAATTCTGAAGTCGCAAAGAGTGAGAATGGGCAACCTGAGCACGGCACGGCCTCCTCCGGGCCGCTGGAGGAGAACAGCCAAAGGCATGCCTGCCACATGGACCACCAAGGCTCCAAGCGGCCAAGCAAATTTCTTCAAGTCTCGCCCCAGGCGCCGCCACGGCAAGGACGAACAGCACCGGGCGTCGCGCGGCCATCACGTCGGCTGGGGCCTCAGGGGCACCGCCAAACAGGGCTTGAGGCTTGTGAAGGATGATAACTTGGAATCGGAACACCAGCACTGTGCTGATCTGGATTCAAGCTCAGGTCATCTTGTGCCGATCACTGTCCGTCAATGCGAATGCTAACAAGTTTATGTTGCACTGAATGTTGACAACAAGCTTGCCCGTTGCAAGAATCAACCGAGACTGGCCTACAGTAGCATCTGTCAGTACCCCCGCTACGCACATGCGCCACTGCGCAGGGAAGCTCACACATATGTCCACTCTGTTCATGACCAATGGCAGCTTTGCCCCCCTCATCATGCTGCATTTCGACGAAAGATCTCCCTCACAGCATAAGATCGAAGCACCTGCATAATCCCATTCCTGCTCGTCATTCACGTCACGTTCGGACTTAGGCCCGAGCCTCAAAGCGTACGTAGACAGCGAAGGCACTCACAGCTTCGAGCCAAACGACAAAGTCACCAGCGAACTAAATTCTACTCCGAATGAACAACACATTGGCAAGATGCCATCGTCTGCTGCTTGTTGCTTGTAGCATCTTGTAGCAGCGTAGTATAGCAGATCCCTGAACCTCGCAAGCGCTGAGTGCTCGGCATCTTCTCTTAGTGCAGAGTGATGCGATCAGACAAGAACGGATGCGATGTGATCAGAGAGACCTGGGCGCCCAAGAAACAGTTCTAGGGACAGCTTCCCGTAACCCGAGCCCGCAAAACGCCTCACGCGTCCAGGCTACATTTCTCGCCCAGAAGTCCCTACATCCCCCCTCGCCCAATTTCCTAACATGTTGCCCCTAAACGTCCTTGTTTAAGCTGTACAGGAACTTGTGAAACCGGGAGAGGCTAACATAATTCATTATATATTACAAATATAAATAAAATTCAAATAACTCTGATTTCTCCTTTGCTGAACTTGTTGATGTGGGTGTGTCGTTTGTTTGTGTCGTGTCTTTAAATCAACTGATAAAGGATCATGCTTATGTTATTACATGTCGGAAAGAGTTCATCATCTTTGACAAAGCACGGGTCAATGGAATGTGTTCATTGCTGAACTGCAAGTCCGAGCCTGTAACTTGGGGCTGACAGCACCACTGCGCCAGCTCCCACCGAGTGTAGAAAGAGAAAGCGAGAGAGAAAGAGACAGAGATAGAGAAAGAGACAGAGACAGAGACAGAGACAGATAAAATAAAGATTAAAGGGCCGGATAACCCCACATGCAAAGTTATCTATTCGCAAAGGGTAGAGAAGTGATACAGGGTGAGATGGTAAGAGAGTAGGGCTTGAGCGTGAGTGGGTGCGTGAGTGTGAGTGAATGCGGAAGTGTGAGTGCGTGATTGCGTGTGTGTGAGTCAGTGACACAGTGTGTCTGTCACGCTACGCCAGAATCTCTCCGTCTCCTGACTGGCGGCTCCGATCTTCGCTAAGAGTGTATAAGTGAATACAAGTAAGCGAGTGAAATGAGTGAATAAGTGTGTGAGTGAGTGAGTGAGTGAGTGAGTGAGTGAGTGAGTGAGTGCGAGCTGTGTCTTTCGTTTTGCTAGCGTCCAAGCGTAGGGTTCAGGGCGACAGCTTTGGGCTTGATTGAGGGCATTCAAAAGTTTCGGGTTCTGTTGTCATCCGGCAAGCGGGCTTTCAGCGACAGCTTTCACAGCCGCCAGTGCGTTCTGCTGAACTTCCACGTACAAGAGAACAGACCATTATTGTCAGCGTTTGTCTGCACGACGACCACTTGGCGAGCTGCGAACCAACGAGAAGCTCGCAGCATGGAAGGGCGCCCCTACGTGCCGCGCCTGCCAGCACAAACGACACCTGTGTCGCGCCCGCTAACGTTTCGCGCGCCGAGCGCGCGTGCGGGAAGGGTCCAGGGCCCCTAAATGCCACGCCTGCCAGCACAAACGACACCTGTGTCGCGCCCGCGAACGTTTCACGCGCCGCGAGCGCGCGCGCGCGCGCGGCAAGGGTCCGGGGCCCCTAAATGCCGCGCCTGCCAGCACGAACGATGCCTGTGTCGCGCCCGGCCGCGTTTCCCGCGCCCCGAGCACGCGCGCGGCAACGGTCCAGGGCCCCTAATAAGCGCCGCGCCTGCCAGCACAAACAACGCCTGTGTCGCGCCTGATAGCGTTTCCCGCGCCCCGAGCGCGCGCGAAACGATCCAGGGCCCCAAAGTCCCGCGCCTGCCAGCACGAACGACGCCTGTGTCAGCCCGCGCGCGGCAACGGTCCCAGGCCCCTAAGTGCCGCGCCTGCCAGCACGAACGACGCCTGCGTCGCGCCTGCTAACGTTTCCCGCGCCCCGAGCGCGCGCGCGGCAACGGTCCAGGGCCCCTAAGTGCCGCGTTTCCCGCGCCCCGAGCCCGCGCGGCAACGGTCCAAGGCCCCTAATGTGCCGCGCCTGCCAGCACAAACGACGCCTGTGTCGCGCCTGCCAGCGTTTCCCGCGCCCCGAGCGCGCGCGGCAACGGTCCAGGGCCCCTAAGCGCCGCGCCTGCCAGCACAAACGACGCCTGTGTCGCGCCTGCCAGCGTTTCCCGCGCCCCGAGCGCGCGAGCGGCAACGGTCCAGGGCCCCAAAAGGAGGAAGGAAGGAAGGCGGGACAGCCCCAAAAGTAAGAACCCCACACAAAGATGTGGGGAAGGAGGAAGCGCAAGAGAAATAAGAGGAGAAAGTTAAAGCAAAAGAGAAAAGGTAAAGAGAAGAGGAAGCAGAGACAGAGAAAGAGGGAGGGAGAGAAGAGAGAGAGAGAGAGGGGGGGAGAGAGGGAGAGCGAGAAAGACAAAAGACAAAGAAAGTGGAAGAGAAGACAGTGCAAGGTTCGAGGTGTCGTACTCGTGCTTTAGGAGGCGGGGGCCGGCCCGTGCTGCTAGGCCGAAAATATGCTCCTAAAATAAAAGGGCCCTTATCCGCCGACCCGATCCAAGATGTGCATAAAACGCCTAAGAATCAAACAATTTCGGTCGACCCCGCTTTTGGGGTCGCGCCGGGGAAGCCCCTTTCATGGTAGCTAGTCTGCGACGACGGGATGCTCCTTGCAACATGGCCACCTTTGCCCCCCCCCCCCCCCCCCCCCCACCTGAACCCCCTCCCCGCCGCCCCCTGAACCCCCTCCCCGCCGCCCCCTCCTGAACATCTGAACCCTTAAGCACCAGCGCCAGAAGCTATAGGCATCTTAAATTGGAGGTGCTGGGCAGCTTTGCTTCCGTGTAGAGAAAGCATGCCAACCCTCTAAAGCACCCGACTAAGCCCCTTCTGTTGTCCCCCTGCCTGAGTTCCCAGGAACCAAGCCTTGGTCGGTAGGCCCACATACTTCAGGCTGGAGCAGACCAGCATCGCCCTGAGGATGCCTTGCAAACAGCGCGGTTTCGGCGGGTTTTCAGGGTTTGCAATCCGCTGCCCACAGCCGAACTCCCTCTTTGTGCCTGAGCCATCGAGGAATCGAGGGGACGAAGGCACGGCCGATCGTGTTGCAGCACCAGGATGAAAGGCGTTCGGACCTCCCCCAAACTCTCAAAAACGAGCACTCTCGATAACGCGCAGGTTTGGGGGCACAGGACTGTCAAGAGAGGCACGTGTATGCAACATTGCCAGTCTTGTGGACAGGGCACTTCAAGCTCTAACCCTCTCTAACCTCAGTCGGCCATGACCTGCGGCGGCCATGGCAGGATGAACTCTAGTGGGATTCCACTGCGCTTATTTACACAACACTCTTCTGCAGAGACTCCTCGCATTCCACGTGTCACGCTTCACAAACACAAACGTGGCGCACAGTCGCTTCCCCGCACAACGCAAGACCCTTTGCACAACTGGCGCCTGCCGAAGAGCGATGTGCAATCCCGCAAAGCCTGACGTTGGGAGGCTACTTCTCATTGAAGGCGTGCTTTTGGGTTGCCCTGTACACGAGAAGTCGACAGATATGTGCCTTGTGATCTGGGGGATGTTGAACATCTGTCACGGCGGAGCCCGCGCGCTCGTCCAGGCACCGCCTGCCAATGTTGTCGAGTTGTTGTCGAGGGTTGCAAGAATTGAGTTGGGCAGTTGCACTCAGCTTCCGCTTTTGAGACATGCCGCACAGCAACTTGCAGGCAATGGTGTAGACTAGTGCCTAGAGTGTGATAGGTGACTTGATATGTCAAAAGCTGACCCCCAGCCTGAACAAGCCTGAACACTTCAGAAGGTTGTTCCCAATCTGCTGGTATCCTGCCAGCCTGATAACAACACACAAATGGAAGCAGCTGCCCGGTACAACCATTTTCAGCGTGCTGCTGAAGGCCTTGGTTTTGGTCGTTGGCCGGCGGACGCAAACCGGAGCCGTCCGAAGCCACAATTTTCGGGCAGGCGCCAAAGCCTTGGCGTGTGATTTGACAATTCATCTGCAGAAACCTCATCCACAAGGTTCTACAGAGACATGGCTTTTGGGAGCATCCACAAGGGCATATCTCCCGCAATGTGCTTCCACGACACCTCCCGCCGTCACGCAGGAGGACAGCACGTGCTCGAGCATGGCAGTAGATGGGGTTGGACGGAACCGGCGATGTAACCTCTCATAGCTGCGATGCATGTCACCGCCCAATTTAAAGGACTGATTCGCTGCAGCTCATTCTGGCTGTGTTAAAAGAGGCGGGGAATGCCTGAATGATATCCGCCAGAGCTGCGTAAGTGAAGATCCATAGCCCCCCCCTCGCCTATCCTCACCCCACCAACCCCCCCCCCCCAACAGGGGCTCCAGCGCATGCCCACGCCCCCGCTGCCCCCGCCCTTTCCGCCCCCCCACCCTTCCCCAAGGCCTACCTCCAACCCAACCCCCTTCAAGTGGAAAGGGAAGCGTTTTAAGGGCGCCCCCGCTCATTCCCACCCTTCCCGCCCCCCTACCTCCAACCCAACCCCCCCCCCCTTGAAATGAAGTGTGTAAAGGGGCTCCGGTGCATCTTCTCCGCAGTGCCGTCCGCGGGACTCTTCTGGGGTCGGCGGCAGTCGGTAGCCAACAATAATGGACAATAATAGAAAGTCAGCCATTTACCCATCCCAACGTGCCTCAGCATCAGCAGCCTCAAGCCAAGGACCCACCCACAAGGCCTGGAACCGTGGGACATCGGAAAAGCTGTATCGGTATAGACTGCGACCAGTCACCATTACATGACGTCACGCCTCGCTGCGTCGCATGATGAAGGCGCGCTTCGTGCACCCTGGCAAAGCGGCATAGGCTTTTGAGGTCCTGCGATAGCTGCGCACTGAAGCGCGTGCTGTGCACATTGTTCAGGTTGTAATCATAAGCTGAACAAGCATCGGCAAGGACAGAGGCACAGTTGCACAGTTTGGCAGCATGCTCCTTGGTTTCGAACCACAGCTCGACCTTTGGCTCTGCCTCCCATGGACGCTTAGCTGTTTCAGGCTCAACTCCTTCGGTCTGCGCACCTCGTCCCACTTCTCGCTCCTGGGATCGCCTGCATCAGGCTTCCAGTCCTGAAAACGTGTGATGTAACAGCGCGCAAGCTTCTGACTATGTAAAACAAGCTCCTCGTCATCACGGTGTGGAAGGTTTGGCCTTTGGAGGAAAAGCGCGCCAATGGCGGCCCCCACGCTTGGCGGGGCCGTGCGCGGTGACCCCGCTTGTGACCCGAGCTCCGTGGGGAGCTCCGTGGGGACAGACATGACATGTGACCCCGCTTGGGTGGGGACGGACTCGGCTGCCCCGAGCCCTGCGCGGACGGACACAGGTGAACCGGTCTCTGTGGGCAGGAAGACCGACCAAAGCTCTGTGGAGACGGAAGTAGATGACTCTGGCCGTGTGGAGACTGACGTGGGTGATCCTTGCTGTGTGAGGGGGGTGCGGACGGACACAGGTGAACCGGTCTCTGTGGGCAGGAAGACCGACCAAAGCTCTGTGGAGACGGAAGTAGATGACTCTGGCCGTGTGGGGACTGACGTGGGTGATCCTTGCTGTGGGGGGGAAGTTCCGGGAGATCGCAGGGGCCTCAGGGGCACGTTGCCAGGCACAGCGTCTTAGACTTCGTAGAGCAAAACAGCATGCTATGTCAGCCATGGGGTTCTTTAGATCCTGAGTGTAGCGCGGCAGCATCTCGCAGACCTGCCTCCAAAGACTGCAGCTCCAGGGCCCAAGGGTCCTCACTTGGGCCTGATGGACATTGCCCTTTGCAACTGTCACTCCGTCACTCTCACAAAGTCATCAGCCACTCCGTGCCTCGGGATGCGCATCTCCCCTTGCGACATGCTAATTGAAAATTTGAAAATTTAAGGGCGCCGTGGCAAACGCAGCGCAGTCCGAGACAGCCCCGACGTGGGCACAAAGAGTGCAAAGTGTGCAAGGAGTGCAAAGAGTGCGAGGAGTGCAAGAAACAAAAGTGCAAAAGGTGCAAAGAGTGAACAGAGCACGCTTAGCGCTTAGAATGCCGCGCCGAAAAAAAAAGGCCTGGAAGTACCAGCGGGCTCCCAAAGCCGCCACCGCGAAGACGAGCAACAGCAGCGCCAGCCACACCTGTCCGAAAGAAAACTGGGACCCGTCTACTTCTCGCCTGTCTGACCCACCACACAGCGGTGTGACAAAAGAAATCCTGGCAAACAACAAAACGTCAAACAACAAAAGATGGATGGTCAAAAATTAAGGAGCACACCGCGGCCTCCTGCGTGCAGCCTCGCTCCGAATGGCGCAGCCCGGCACGGTAGCCCTGCAGGCTGCTTCTGTCTTGTGTCGGGGGTTAGCTAGAAACTAAGGCTAAGGACAAGCCAAAGATAGGAGCCATGAGAAGAATCCCCTTCCGTGCATGTGCTTTACTTAGTGATGTTGGCGTCCATTTTACTCTTCTCCGCGGCTAACCCGAAATCGCACTGGTCCAAAAGCGTGGAGAACGGAACGTGGGGAAAGCCGATGGCTAACCCGAAATCGCGCTGGTCCAAAAGCGTGGGGAAAGTTGGGAAAGCCGGAGATCTCACCAAACAGCACGGGGAACTCGATTAAGTGCGCTAGAATATTAACAAATTGATTCCCTCCTCCGCGAATGTTACGACTGAAACTTTCTTGGTGGGAGATGGCGAACCCTCCAGGATGCGGAGATTGAAGTTCTTCACGATAAAGGCCAGCAAGTAGACACCCTCCACGTAGGCAAGCCTCTTGCCGATGCACGCGCGATTACCGAAGCCAAACGGGAGGTGCATGTCTGGGTAACCTTGTTCCTAGGCTGCCCAAAAACCTAGGATGAAAAAGGGCGCCCTTTTTTGCTTGAAGGGGTTTGTAAGGGAACCTAAACCCCTCAATAAGGGTGAATAAGGGTACTACTGTGCATCCCAGTTTCCATTCTCTCAGGACGAAAGGACATCACATCGCTTCCCCACATTTCTTCACTGTGTGCCAACATCACCTGGCATATACTGATAAACGTGCCCCTTGGAATAGGGTACTTCCCACCCAATGTCACGTCAGCCTCTGCTTGGCGTGCATGTTGAATGAGTGTCGGGTGTAAGCGAAGAGCCTCCTGCCACACCAACCAGGTATAAGGCAGCGAGTCCTGAACACGGGTCAACCTTGGTAGACCAGTAGCCCTAATTATGACAAGGGTAACCTTTTGTTGGTTGGTTACTTCAACAGGGAGACCAGAACCAAAAAAAAGGGTAAAGGGTACCACTGGGCTACAGTACCAAGCAACGGCATGTTGTCCAGATCGTGGGCAGTTGTTTCTGCAAGAACCTTTTCTTGCACCTCAGGACTGCGAAGGAGACATGTGTTTCCTTTCAGTTTGTTCTTGAATAATATAGGCACCTTAATAATTAGAACAGGGTTTTGGGGGTTATTATAATAGTACAATTACAAAGGGGCCATAAGGGAATATTATTCGTAGTTATTTTGACCCCTATAGTACCTTTTTTGCCGTCATGTTTTTTCCCAAGTGGCACCTCAGGACTGCGAGCCACCTCGAACAGTGCCCATTACGTCGTGTAGCCTGTGGTCTCGTGGCCCGCCTGCAGCAAAGTGAGAATTTCAGCCCGTAGCCTTGGAGTTGCTGAAGCAACCGGAACATAAAACGTGAGAACCGTAAGGCGATTTAACCTTAGGGATCTGAAACAAATCCAGGCAGCTCCGACTTGCTCATCTTCCTACCTTCCTCATGAGCATCCTGCATGGCCTTGAGCATGTTCAGCCCCGACTGGTCAACGATGTCAGTGCCCAAGACTGCATCAATGTACTTGCCCAGCACCTTCTGCGCACGAGCCAGCGCATGTAGCGCGGAGGCCAATACCTCGCCAAGCTTGGCTCACCCGTGCGCAGTTGTGTCTCAGAGAGCACCACCTCGCTTGCCACGGAAAACCTCACCAGTGACATGTTGTACAGGGTTTAACTAGGGTTAAGAGTTTAGGGTCTACATGATTGTCGAAGAAGGGAATAGCAGATAGCAGACATGCGCTCAAAAGAAAGTACCTAGGTGAGCATACATGATTCTTCTGAGCTCATCTACTTTCGCAACTCAAAAAGGAGCTGGAGCAAAGCCATGGGAACGAAAGCTGCTTCTCAGCGTCTGCTTTGCTCAAGGCTTTTGGATGCTGTTCTGGAAGAAGTGTCCTATGCTGAACTTGGAACCCTAGCAAAAAATACATTTTTGCTGTTTCTGAGGTATTATAGTACACCAAAATTGGGTTTTTTGCTGTTTTTTAGGAATTACAATACAAAAAAAGGAAAATATTCCCAAGTATCCTTAAGTGTCATTGTCGCCTTGGAATCGAAGCCAAAGCCAAGGCTGCCAATGATGTCGAGGGTCACAAGCTTCAAGAAATTCCTAGACCCAGGAGTAACCTAGGAACAAAAAAGGTGCCCTTTTGATTTTAAAGGGGGCTCATAAGGGAGCCTAAACACTAAAATAAGGGAATAAGGGGCTACTCTGGGTCCCTAGATTCTGGATGTCACACTCCACCTCTCCCTCTTGTTTGCGTTGAGCACGAAGCGTAACATGTCAGCCTTGTCGGAGACCCGGGACGAATAACCCTCCAAGAACCTGTCACTGAGCAAAGGCGCAATCAACCTGCGGTGAAGAGCCCATGGAGATTGAGGACCATCACTTCGCAAAGCCAGCATGCCCTCGGGAATGGTGGTAGCAAAGGCGGTCCCGCTGTGGCGCGAATGGAAGACATCCTTCTTGGATTGAATCTCTGCGATGATGGCAGGATCCGCCGTAAAGAGCATGAACTCCAACTGAGGAAAAAGGCCACACTGGCAGGCGTACCACCCCAAGTAAGCCCCAAGTCCTTGAAGTGCTCCTTCATAGGCTCCACCGGTGAGTGCCCCCCTTGGATCCTTTGCAACTCAGCAATGCCAGCGAAGATAGGTCCTGGCTCTTTTGGCTGAGGTATTTCAGCAAAGAGGGCTTGACGTGCTCGACACTGTCGTACGAGGTAGGCATAGATGGCAGCGGGTGTAAGAACAGCCGCCCCAGCCACCCCAGCCGCCACGCACCAATTGGGAACATCCACTGCCCCGATGCTGGGCATACCGACTACTCTGCTGACTCTGCTACTCTTGAACCATGCTCGCAAAAGAACCTGAAGAATAGAATTTGAGGCATATATACACGCATTCGTTCTATGGACACGGACTCTGTGGATGCGTGCTGTCTACTCTGAGTTTAGCATTCAAACAATCATGCTCCTGGAACTCGTCAGCGTTTTCAGGCTTGGTGATCACTCTGCAAGGGATGGCGAATACGAAAGTCACTTAACCTTCGCGGAGCTCCTCCACAAGCAGCCGCCACTGGCTGCTCCGCAGGCCTCCATCCGGCCTTCAAGGCATCAACCCCGCGCGCGAGTTTCCTTCTTGCGTTCCGTGCTCAGGCAGGGGCAGGTCAACTTCTTCTGGGATGGCGAGGGGCATCTTTGGAACGCCAAGCCAGGCTTGAGGCTTGGCTTGAGGCTGAACAGCTCCACATCCATCTACGAGTACGCTTGGCTGACTGGGTTGGTCATTGTCCGCCCAGCTCTGGCAGCCGGACAGCACAGTACACCCAAAAGCCAACCACAAAACTACGCCGGATAGTTCTCTGCGTCCAGGAGCACATGCATGCACCCTGGCTCGTAGAATATTTTGCCGCTTCGACCTGTCAGTAGATCCCTGTCAGATAATGCCCAAATATTCACATGCAAACGCGTGCCTTGCACGACACGTGTTGCTCAGCGCAGGGGCTGAGACACAAATCAAATTCACAGCTGTGCCAAGTGACTCTCACAGATTTCAGGGAGCCTTGAAGCTTCTAAGGTCTAGCCGTCGAGCCTTTTCTGGCCTCCCATACCAGAAAGGCTTGACAGAAAACTTGACTCAAATGCTTGAAATATGCTCAGAAACGACCTCGGCCACACCAAAATGAGAAGGTCAGACCGAGCGATTCAACGATTGCACAGCGCTGTGCAGCGCTGCGCTGCCGGAATTCGGCCATGGTAGCACACATCACCACATTGAAGATGAGCCGCTGGCTAGCAGCACTAGCTTGCACTAGTCGAATTTCGTCCAGTGCCCTACGTCACGAGCCACATCATCAGAACGTGAGGGGGCCGAGTGAGAGCGCGACGTCAGAGAGCAGTCGTTTCGAACCTGTTACATGGATGACACCGAAGTCTACATCAAAAGCCACCACCTTAGCTGAAGACGAGGCTCTCCATCGCAATTGATGAAGGTATGCTTCACCGAGCACCAGGGTGGCAAGGGCGAGATTCCCCGAACATCCGTGACAAGTGCCTCCACAAATGCAGCCCTCAACACACGTCATACACGTAGCTACGTGAAGTCACGAAGCCAACACGACATTTCAGCGACGGCGGCTTCCGCGTTCTCCACATCATTCTCCGCATCATCTCTGGCTTCGCTTGCTTCCTGAGGCCTCCGAAGGCTCTCAATCGGTCTGCCATGCATCAACTCGCACGCACGTCGCACGTCATCCAATGTCAGCCAAACCCCCCGCCTTCCATGCACGCTCTCCGCCAGGAGATTAGGCACTGCATCTTTGCTGGGAGAACCGCATGGCGACGCTTCCACCCGTTGCGGAGTCTGAATGTGACTTGCGGGAACGTACATGGGAGAGAGTGTCCGCAACCCCTGCCAAGAAAGTGTCTCAAGCTGCTTGCCCGCAGCTTCATCAAGTGCAGCAGTGGCGTTTGAGCATGACGACAAGATTGAGCCCGCAGGGAAATGGTTCGCCACGGCCGGCTGCTGATCGAGGGTGATCATGCTGTCCTACGAGCCAGTGTGACAGCGTAGCCAAAGCACGGCCTAGCACTTGCAGGCATTGAATTGGGTAGAACATTGAACACGGAATCAAGAAGCCGCCCCCAAGGCTCCTTCAGAGTGCGGATGGAGGCGACGGATTCTCTCTTAGCTAGTCGCCTTCGTCGACGGAAGCAAAGGTATCCACAGCCACGGTCGTCCTTAGCTCTTCTTTGCACTTTCGAAGTGGCAGATGGGCCTACGAGGAAACGGCCGGCACATCAAATACATCCATCCGCGCGTCTTTGTGAAAATTGAACCGGGCGAGAATGAACGGCTGCGACAACAGCTCGGTCATGGAGACGCACCCGAAAGCCGTCTCACTCATCTCGGCCCTAAACCTTTCACCTCGGCCAGCGGCACGCAAAGTCACGCAACTAAATCAACTTGGCAGCAACGCGGGAGTGTAGGCAGAGTATTGAAAGAATTGAAAGTAAGGGCACGGAAGAGGCGCTTGAGGTCCGCCATCCAAAGCCAGCCTCTCTGGTCCGCCAGCAAGTGGCTGAGGCAGTCGCAAAGCACCTGCTCGTCGGCTACCTCGGGGGCATGAGAAGGGACGAAGGGACAGCGATGGTGAACACAAAACGCCGACAGCAATCCAAGCGGCGTAGGTCTCTCCGATGTCAACATTCGTTGGCGCACGCAACATCATATTACTCCTGACCAAGTTCGCAAGCATGTTCAATTGAGGGTTTCAGCTTTGCATACTGCGCAGCTGGAGGAAGTGCCTCCGGATCCAGTCTTCTGATTCAAAGTATGGGACCAGCCGCCCTTTGTTCTTGCCTCAAGGCGACATTGAGAAATTGAGCGCGAGGAGTTCAAGCCTCCACGCTCCCCAGGTGCGGACGAGTGTCCCAGCAACTTCAGCACGGAGTGCGCGCGCTTGACAAATGCCAGCATACGACCAAAGGAGCTTGGGCGCCTGCACAGACTGCGTTTGCTACAGTGTCTGCTACAAGCAGGTGGATGGCAGCAGGTGTTTGTGCAACTGAAAGCTGCTTAAGGAAGGCTTTTCTTCTTCCGTCCTTGCGTAGACGCAGAGCCACGAGGCGATCTCGAAGGCCTGAGGGGTGAGCCAAAACACCAGAACAGAGTAAGAAGGGAACGGAGAGTAGCCACGAGTACCTCGTAATTCGCCCGCCTGGTGCTCAGAAGGGACGGCGCGTGGCCATTCCCCGGTGCACAAAAGCTCTCGGAGGTCTGCTTCCTCCTCCTGCACTCAGATGACAGGCCAAAGAAGCTCAGGTTGTATGGTGTCTCTGAGTCTCCGTGCGTGTGTGCGTGTGTGCGCGTGTGCATGTGCGATGCCCGCGTGTGCGTGGGAGCGCGTGTGCGCGAATGTGCGTGTGCGTGTTGGTGTGCGTTGGTGTGTTGGTGTGTGTGTGTGTGTGTGTGTGTGTGTGCGTGTGTGTGCGCTGGTGTGTGCTGGTGTGTGCTGGTGTGTGTTGGGGTGTGTTGGTGTGTGTTGGTGCGTGTGCGTGTTGGTGTGTGTGTGTGTGTGTGTGTGTGTGTGTGTGTGCGTGTTGTGTGTGTGTGTTGTGTGTGTGTGTGTGTGTGGTGTGTTTGTGTGTGTGGTGTGTGTGTGTGTGTTTGTGTGTGTTGTGTGTGTGGGTGTGTGGGTGTGTCTGTGCCTGTGCCTGTGCTGTGTCTGGTCTGTGTTGGTGTGTGTGTGTGTTGTGTGTGTGTGTTTTGTGTGTGTGGTGTGTGTGTGTGTGTGTGTGTGTGTGTGTTGGGGTGTGTGTGTGTGTGTGTGTGTTGTGTGTGGGTGTGTGTTTGTGTGTGTGTGTGTGTTGTGGTGTGGTGTTGTTGGTGTGTGGGTGGTGTTGGTGTGTTGTGTGTGTGTGTGTGTGTGGTGGTGTGTTGTGTTGTTGTGGCGTTGTGGTGGTGTGTTGGTGTTGGGTTTGGTGTGGTGGTGTGGTTCGTGGGGTGGGTGTGCGTGTGTGCGCGTTGGTGTGTGTTGTGTGTGCCGTTGGGGTGTGTGGTGCGTTGGTGGGTGTGTGCGCGTTGTGTGGCGCGTGCGCGTGTGCGCGTTGTGTGGCGTGGTGTGTGTGCGCGTTGGTGTGTGCGCGCGTTGGTGTGTGCGTGCGTTGGTGTGTGCGCGCGTTTGGTGTGTGCGCGCGTTGGTGTGTGCGCGCGTTGGTGTGTGCGCGCGTTGGTGTGTGCGCGCGCTGGTGTGTGCGCGCGTTGGTGTGTGTGTGCGCGTTGGTGTGTGCGCGCGTTGGTGTGTGCGCGCGTTGGTGTGTGTGTGTGTGTGTGTGTGTGTGTGCGCGTTGCGGTGTGTGCGCGTTGCGGTGTGTGCGCGTTGCGGTGTGTGCGCGTTGCGGTGTGTGCGCGTTGGGGTGTGTGCGCGTGTGCGCGTTGGTGTGTGCGCGTTGGTGTGTGTGCGCGTTGGTGTGTGTGCGCGTTGGGGTGTGTGCGCGTTGGTGTGTGTGCGCGTTGGTGTGTGTGCG